GTCAGCGTCAGCGGCGCTCGGCCGCCGGCCCCGGCCGGTCGGTGTGACCATACCCGACCCGCCGGCGGGCTGCAGGGAAACCGTGTCCGTAGCCGGCGATACTGCAGCGGAATGGCGGCCACTTCTGCAGAGGGACCGTGACATCGCCGGACTAAGGGAATCTTTCTGCGGAGAAATAAATTAGGTCGTTTCTGGAGCCTGGGGGGCCGTATGTGGGCGTATGTATTGACGCGGATTCAGAAAAAAAACTGTTGGAAACGCTACGAAACCATCTGTAGGTACTTCCCCCCCAAAAAAAAAAACAATTTTCAAAAACTTGTCGATTTTGCATCGTTTTACGTTGTTCAATTCAAAATAAACGTTTGTGCTATAATTTATATGCGAGGAAAACAGCCAAACTTTGTGAATTTGGGGTAGGAATGTCTCAAATAATGGCTCTGATGTGGGCATGACTCTGACCGCAGTCAGAGTCAGGCCCACGTATCATCGGGTGGCCTTTGGTGAGGTCATGCTGTCCCGTCCGGGGAGTCCGTATTGGTCAAGCCAGCTGGCCGGTCACTGGTCAGTGAGACTATCCTTCCTCAGCCGGCCTCCTGTGCTGGCCCCGCCCGGTCCGGAGAGGCAGCGGCTGGCCGGCCGTCGCGGCGCCGGCCACCGCCCACGCGGCGGACCGTCACGGCGCGGGCGGCGGGACGGACGGACGGGACGGGACGCACTCGGCCGGCCGCGCCGCAGGAATGCCGCCGCCGCCGCGCCGGTCGGGGTTGATGACCGGAGCCGCGCGCCGCGTGTTGAGCATCCGCCGGTGAATGGACCGGTGGCGGCGCGCGCGGCGGCCGGCCCGGTGGCGGAACTGGTGATGGCGTCTGCGGTGGTGTCGCGCGTCTGGGGCGCTCATGCCACACCCGGCCCGGCCGCCGCCTAAAACACGGGCGGCGATTTTTTGCCGGACGTAGTACATGGTGGTTTATTGAAGTAGCGCCGTGAGCGTAAACACGCCACCGCCCGGGGAGGCCCGGTTTATGTTGGGCGGCGGTGGCTAACGGTGACGCCGCCCCCGCCCCCGCCCTGCCCGGACGTCCTGCGGCTGTGCCCGTGCCCTGCTGGCTAGAACTTCTGCGAACGGGGTCCCCGGGGGCCGGCAGTGGGAGCCGCTCTGCGCGTGGGGCCGCTCGGGCCGTCGGCGGCGCTCGGCTGTAAGGTGGGCCGACTCGGGGCGCTCCGACTGGCTGCCGGCCGGCTCACTTCCGCCCGGCGAGCGTCACTGCGGCCCACTCGGCTGCTCCGAATCACGGTGGCGGCCTCCGCAGTCCGCACTCGGCCGCTCCCTATGGATTTCCGACACCGCGCCGGCGGACGCTCGATAAAGTGCGCCGCCGCCGCCGCCGCCGCCGGCAGTGGTACACGTGCGTGCGCGCGTACGCAGCCGGCCGGCGGCGGCGCCCACGCGGGCGGCGCTGTGACGTCAGCGCGCGCCGAGTCGATGACCGGCGGGTGGTGCTGGCGGCGCTACTGCGCAGTGGCCGCCGCCGCCGCCGCCGCCTCCGTCATGGGACGGCCCTCCATGGGACACGCGGCGGCGGCGGACGCAGCGGGCGCCGATCGATCGCCGCCGCCGCATGATGCAACTGAGAGCGGCAGCGGGCAGCGGCCGGCGTAACGAGCCGCCGGCAGCGGGAGCGGCAGCGGCCGCACCGCGTGGCCGGCCAAGGTCGAGCAGCGGCCGACCGCGTGGGACGCCCGTCTGCACCGGCTCAGGAAATGCCGGCAGGTCGAGCGCCACGCCGCGCCGGTCGGCGGCGGCGGGCCGAGCGTCCCGTGCACCCGTCCACACGGGGCAAATGCCGTCGCCCCGGCATTCAGAGAACGACGGGTCATCGTCCTCAAACCCCCAACGGTCCGGGCATACACCGCCGTATCACCCAGCCATTCAGCCTCTTGGACAGATCCCACCGTTTACCATTTTGAATGGCACAGTCTCAGCCCGGGCACGTTTATTCTTTCGGCAGTCGTCACTACCCCACAGTTTGGGTGATACTGAAGGCGACTCTGGTCAAAGGAGTATTTCGTACATGCTCGTATGTGCGTCGTGAATACCTAATGAAAAAAATGTTTCGACAAGCGCGGGCATATGCTTCCAAACACAGCTAGGGATGTACGTACAAATGGCGTGGAGGGGAGCACGATGCCGGCCTCGCGCCTAGACTGCAGTGCGATCGAACAGCGCACGTCTGGAACTGCGGACTTAATATTTGAGTTTTGCTTGCTTCCGAGTATTGGCTTGAAATGACCTTTCAAAATAGGGTACAAAAGGCAGCTTCCTGTCGACTTGATGTCAGCTAAATTTAGCAACGAAAATGCGCCTCTTTGACATTATATTTATAGCTAAGTGGAATTTTGTCACATGGTGGACGTGAACTTCAATGATTGAGGACGTGCACCTTTGATGATTTCATTTGGCCTCGACTCGGTGACATTTGACATGCCTGTATAGTGTATATTGTCTTCTTGTTTTTTGTGCAAAAATCGATCTGATTGGTATCGCAAACAGGGGCCCCAAAACATCGAGTGCAACTTCGGACTCGGTCGGCCCAGCCGATGTGAAATTGGTCAGTTGATCGTCAGGCGGTCCCAGCCCGATGTCGCGTAGAGTAGAATGCCGTAGATCCATCTGTTCGTTCTTCCGTTCCACTGACGTCCGGTCGGCCGGCCTGGTGCAAACGGTTCGTTTCCCGCTAGTTGACCACCCGCCCGCACGTGGGCTGACGCACGCGGCATCCGGAGTCTCCTCTGACAGTCGGAGCCGTGGGTCTTCAGGTTTCAGAAGACGACCCCGGCCGGACTCGGTCGATTGGGCGTCAGGACTGTCTCGGCCGCTGCCACCCCAGACGTGACGCAGTAGGTAGGTACCGGTGACGCAGACCAGACAAAGTTATCTTGGGCCAGACGTGCCTTCGAATCGTCTGCGTCCCCTCTTCACCGCTGTCGGTGGGTTCGCCTGACGTCAGCTGGGTGTCGGTGAATGTGACACTCCTGCATCCACGTTGAGTCAATAAAGATGCTGTCAATGACGTTCGATTGCATGCCATAATTGTTTCGTTCTCATACGTCTTTCTCAGGCGGTGGCCAGTGGTCTCAGTTCGCAGATGCGGACTAGCCCGCTCTTCTCGACGTTCTATTCTTGTATACGGAGGCACCGAGTTTCGCTCTGCAGAGGCCCGCCGCTGGGCAGCCGGCAGGCTCGTTTCACGTGCTGCGGCGCGTCCGTTTCGAGTCTGTCGTCGCCCGTTTGCATACCGTAGCGCGCCCGATCCGGCGTCCGCGTATTCAGCGGCCTCATTGGGGCCGCCTGTGCCTGCCGGGAACAGACGCCAGCCTAAAAATGACGCCGGCCACGGCCTTGGTGGCGAATATAGCCGGCGCTCATTTTAATCTCCGAGGTTTACCGAGAACGTCTTGGGCGCTGGTGTCATCACCGTCTGCATTGATGATTTGTTGTGCGGTGGCGTTGTCTCATTATTGTACCGTTCCGCCGTCCTCCGCGCCGGCTGTCAGTTTGTGTGACGCCGAGGTCCGTCAGCGGTTTAACCATGTGTAGCGGAGCGGACCGCGACGGGTCCCCTATGAGCCGCACGTGTCGTATACGTTTTACGTCTCATGTGGCTAAGAATAGCCTCCGGGAGTGGCCGCTCAGAATAGACTGCCAGTGAGACCGGCCGTGCATTGAGAGCCGAGTGCCGATGGGCGGCGTCTGTCCGCCGGGGCGCTGACCCAGTCCGGAAGTCGCTGAGGTGTGGACCGTATGGACCACGGAGAGACCGTCTGTGACCGGTGAGAGGTCATCACCCGAGTCCCGGTCAGGTGAAGAGCTCTGCAGCGTCCCTGGCTCCCTCCCCGGAGGATGGTCGGCTGGTTCTCGCTGCATGTGACCGCGGCACCATGGCTGAAAGCACACCTCGGAGTCCGCCGGCGATCGCTGCAGGCGCTGAGAACACCTTGGCTTCTCGCAGCCTGCATTTGACGTTTGAATGGCGCGCCAGTATCAGGATAACACCAAATCCGGACCGGCTGCTGACTGACAATTTACCTATATGCTATGTGCGTACTATTTATTACCGAAGCCTGCTAAGTACTTACATCTCCCTATGTATGTGTAATTTATATGCTTAGGTGCACCTCTACTTACCACACCCAGGGAGGGTGTGTTTAGAATGAATATTCATCTTTCCTCTATTGTAATCGAAATGATCATGCCAGCTGAACGATCGCAATTTATCTCCGCCGTGCTAGCGGAAAACATCCATTAAACGTTGATGGTGTGCATTACATACAGCAGTTGACATTACCAGTACCTACGTATAGCTACGTTGTGTGTATATCAAGGCCTAACTGTTTGCCTTGGTTTGTGTCCATTTAAGGAAAACCCACTTAGCGTTTTTCCTGCAACAATGAGTGTATTTAAAGGTCTGTGTGAACGACGGGGAAAATCGATGTGAGAAAAGCAGGATGTTTTTAGTCGGCGGGGCTGGGACGGCGGCACCGGTGGTCTGAGGCTGGAGTGTCGGTCGGCTCTGGGTGCCGCCGCTGCCTGCCCGCCCGGCGGCTGATCGCGTCGCGTCTGCATTATACAGGAGCGCGGCCCCAATGACGACGGCCGCCCTAAGGTGTGGCCGCGGCTGGTGATGTCGGTCCGGTCGGCCGGGGACCGTCAGCGGACCTCCGGCGGTCTCTGTGATCCGCCCACTGCCGGCTGATGATCCCGTCACTGCGTAGTAGGCAGCGCCCAGTCCTTATTTTCATCACTTCATTCCAAGGCCATCTATAGACCTTCATGTCTATAAGCCTTCATGCCGTGTGCGTAACGGGTGCCTTCCGCAACCCATGCGCCTATCGTGTACCATTTTCAGACTGCTTACCTAATGTGAACTGTATACCCAGCTGCTCGTGTATATCGAACGTCAGTCAGCCCTCTGACGCCGCTCTCACCGCTCCGCCCACAGTGTGTCCGTCAATCGACATTCGCAAGAGCTTCGACAACGTGGAGGAATTGGAGGACTGCGACGTCATCGAGGGTCACCTGAAGATGGTGCTGATCGGCGACGCGGCCGTGCCGGTGCGGTTTCCGCGCCTCAAGCAGGTCACTCACTACGTTATCTTCTACAGGTGAGGCTCGCCTTTGGTGTGGAGCTGCCGCGGAGGGGTGGGGTGCAGGTCCAGCCGCGGCCGGCCGCTCCGGCTCGCCCGCCGCGCCGGGACGGACCGGTCCGCAGAGCTCCGCGGCCGCCGCCCGGCACGGTCAGGGTCGTTTGTTAGCATTTCGGGCGGCCGTCTCGTGCCGATACGTCTGGGCACACTACGGTGCAGGCTATAGTCAGAGTCAGAGTCGACTGGGCCGGGCTGAGTCAGCGCCGGGCGGGCGCGAGTCATGCGGGCGGGCCGGGCCGCCCGGCGCTGACGTCACAGAGTTTGCACGGTACGCTGTGGCCTGTGCAGGGAGGCGCGGCGGCGGCTGCGATTGTTTTCTCCCGGTGACGTCACTGAGGTCATTGCTCCGGTCTGATTGAGTCGAGTGGTGCGGCGGCGGCGCCGGGCGCCGCTCCCGCTGTGATGGCCATATGAGGCCACTGAGATGTCGACCGCTGACGTGTGAGGTTTGCTGGATGAGGCGAGCTGTATGTACACGAGACGGTGCTGCTGAAGGGCGACGCCCCATTAGCTCCCACTCATCGTAATGTGAAGGGTGTCGTCTGTCAGCTGAGTAAAGCCCGTCAACTGATGTGCAAGGAAGACGTTTGGTGCGCTGTCTGACGAGCAAGGTGTGAGGGCTAACGGTGCCAACTGCCGGTGTTGGAGCTGTATGTGGGTGAAGTCAAGGTCGTGCCTAGGGTAACACCATGTTACATGGGGTGGCGGCTGTAGCAGCGCCTAATGCGAGGGCTCGCGATCTTACACGCCCGCTGGTAGTTTTCGGCAAACGACATTGCTCACTGGACTGCCGGCTGAGCCCCCAGTCTCTACCGTCCGCCGGCGCGGCTATCGTCAGCTGTCAGCCGACTCGGCAGGGCGACTCGATGACTCCGCGGGCTGACTCGGTGACTCCGCGGGCTGACTCGGTGACTCCGCGGGCTGACTCGGTGACTCAGAGCTGCGGTCGGTTGGCCGGCGGTAGGGCTCGCGGCACTGGTCGTGTTACTGTTGGCGCTTCATCTCGGGACGTCGCGCCGGTCCTTCAGCGGCGCTGGCCAGAGGCGGATCCAGCTCAGAGTTTTTTTTTTGGGGGGGGGGGCAAACCATAACAATTTATCGATTCTTTCCATGCATCGTCCATAGGCGTAATGTTAAAATTATGCCGTTGGGGGGGGGGGGGCAAATGCCCATTTTGCCCCCCCCCCCTGGATCCGCCACTGGCGCTGGCGGCGGCTCAGCGCCCTAAAACATCCCTCTCGGCGACTCTGATTGCTCTGTGAGACAGAGGACAACCTGAGTCTACCAGCTTATCGCAATGCCGGTGAATAAACAACATCCGAGAATGTGCAATTATCATCAAACGCACAAACCTTCAGAGATGCAGCATATTGAGCAATGAACCGACCAAGCGTCTTGATCGCGGTGACGGCTTAGCGTCTTTGATGTCGGCCAGTTGTCGGCGCTGTCAGATTCTTATTGCGCAGTTATCCAGCGACCGGAAGGGCGTGTTTCCTGTCATGTATTTTTGTCGTCTTTGGAGAGCCATATGTAATCGCTATAACGTTTATGTTTGTGCGAGTGCCACGTTCGGCAGTTGTGTGGACACGCGGCGGAAGAGAACCGAAATGAAGTTGGTAGGTTGTTATTTTTAGCTTTTAGGTTGTTGGATGCCGTTCTGGAACACGGGGCATTTGTAGAGGATGCTCTAATCAACATAAATTTGACGTGACCTAAAAGTGCTATGTGAGATCCAGGCAGATCGGATAAAATTTTGTATAATGCACATTTCCATTAGCTCGGTAGAGTTTCCTATTGCTTCGTGACTGGAATAGCATCACTGCCGTGACGCAGTGATAGAAAAGGCAGGATTTCTTCCACACCGCCGTGTCACACCTCGAACCGTGTGCCGTGTGGGCTGTGAGACAGACGGCCTCTGGCAGTCGCAGTCGTCTCAGTCACTGCTCCGGTCATACTGTGACGCCGTGCCACTAAGCGGAGCCGTATCGGACGGCGCCGCGGTGTGCGATGTGCACCCGGTACTGGCAGACGGTGCCCTGCGCCGACACCGGCCCGGCGGCGGCGGCCGCGGCTCGGTGTGCGGGCCGCCGCCGGCGCGGGGCCCGGCGTGGGATGCCGCCGCCGCCGCCACCGCCGCCGCCGCTGCGTAGGTCGGCCGGGCCGGTGTCGATCTGCCCCCCCCCCCTCCCTCTCCCCAGCTCCGGCTGGGGAGTGGCGGCACGACGCAGTAGTAGCGAGCCATGAGCTGGCAGCGGGAACACCCGCGGCCGCCGGCGGATCGGCTGAGAGCGCTGGGTACCCGGACCAAAACGGACCCGCCCGCTCCCGGCAGTGGGGCCGATCGACGCGTGGGCAAGGCGAAACATGCCCCCTGGTGAGCAGGCCGCTCCGTCTTCGAATAGAGGGGCTGGATAAAAATAACACCATACTGCGCGTTACACCGGGTGGCTTCTTTGGGTGGGATGACTTGCTGACTGGCCATAACTTGGGGCTGATGATCGTAGTTGACTTGGTATGGTGGTGAAGTTTATGCTGATGTAGCTGCTACCACAAACATTGTGTCGGCGATTCCCCGACACGCCCTCGGCCCGGCCGTACTTTGTTATTGTTTTGTTCCGGGGCTTGGAGGACAAGGGCACACCGCAATGTGTTTGAATGCATCACCAAATGGATGTGTATTGTATCGCGAGGCCCATCTCGAACGAAGGCCTCAATCGAGCATGGCCACGACGCGATGCGTTAAAAATAGTCCCGGGGCGGCGGCGGGGCGCGGCGCCCCACGCCAGCGCTCGCCGGCCGGATGGCCGGCTGACGCGGAAGCGCCCCGTGACGCACGTAGGCGGCGCTGGCGGCGCGGCCGGACTAGTACACCCTGTCGCCGCCAGGGGCGCCACCGGCCGCCGCTGCTCGCCTCAAGATGGCGGCGTGTGGTCGCGTGGGGCGCCGACGGCCCGGTAGCGTCCCCATGGCTACGGCTCCCGGCGGGGGCGAGCTCTGCGGCCCCCGAGTGCAGCCCCTGACCGGTGACCTGGCCACCCCCGCGGGCCCCCGGCGGCCCCTCCGTCCGGAGCCAAGGCCGGCCGGGAGCGGATCAGGGGCCCCGCCGGGTGGACGGCTGCACACCGCCGCCAGGTTTCTGGGGCTCCCGGAGGTCGTGTCGGCCGGCACCGGCGCCGACCTGCTCAGCTCGGCGTTGTTTACAGAGGGATGCCGCTGGCGGCGTAGTGACGTCACATTTCCAGTGCGGGAGCGGAGGGGACGGGACTGGGACGCGGTACGGAGAGGGCGGCTGACGCAGCTTGTCGTGCGTCGCCCCTATATCGGGTCGGGTCTGATTTGTGCGCGGCCTCCGACACGTCACCAGTCCGCTTAGTCATGTTGACTAAGCGGGCGACTCGTTATTGACTAATCTGGCGGCGCACCGGCTGACCGGAGCCCGACGTGAGCGCTGGGCACGTCACGGCCGCGCCTGGCAGTCCGTGCCCACAGTCACACCACACCTTCACAGGCCGGGCCGCTTTGTTTCGCCCGTGAACCAGACACGCTTGCCATGTGCGCAATACCTACCGCCCGCTCGTGTTCCGATGTGCGTGTGAACGCGTCATTGTGCGTCACCACCGCCTTTCTGTGGTGTCTGTTATGTAACCCCCTGCCGCGCCGGTGAGCCTGTCTGCGACACGACACTGCCCTCGACATTACCCCCCCCCCCCCCCGACGGACCCGTTGACGGGGGGGGGGGCAGCCGCAGTTGGACGTCAGCGTGAGCCCGACACACCGCTACCGACCGACAGACGGACAGACCGGGATCGTGTTCTATCCCAATCCGACCATCTATCGGTGCGCCTCGGCTTATCATTACCTGATTTGTTTTTCATTTGTATGCTTGCTTGAGTCAGACGTTTCAGAATGTCTACAGGGCCGCTAGCTGCGTGAAGTTTATCCGTCGTTATAACCTGCTTCATCCTAATTAAGTTTCAGGCGTTTCTTTCGGTCTATGACCGCCATTCTGTCTGTTCAACGCAGTAAATACATGCACTACTCCAGCTCCACCATATCCCCATGACAGTCTCTCCGATCGTACAGCACAGTTCCACACCCTGGCTCAGTTCGGTTAGCGCGAGTTGACCACCCCTCTGACCATCCGACCATGGCCGCCCCTGATCTAACCGCTGACCCTCTCTCACCGCCCCTGTGACCGCTCTGACCCCTCTAACCGCCCCATTTCTGACCTCGCGCCGTATCTCCGCTCACCAGGGTGCAGAGCGTGCAGTCGTTTTCGGAGATGTTCCCCAACCTGGCCGTCATCCGCGGCCACCAGCTCTTCAGCGACTACGCCCTAGTGGTGTATGAGAACCAGCAGCTACGCGACCTCGGTCTCATCGGCCTGACGCGCATCATGCGCGGCACGGTGCGCATCGAGAAGAACCCCTACCTCTGCTACCTGGACACCATCGACTGGGAGCGGCTCACCGGCCGAAAGGGCATGGTCATACAGGTGAGTGGCAGAAAACGTGGGAGTCGTATCACGCTGATTTGGAACTGGAATGTTGAAGGGTGGTTTACGTTAGCCATGCAATTTGAAATTGATTTTTCCTAGGTCGTAATTGCCGCCGTGGAGCGCAGCCACTTGTCAAGCAGCCCTGATAATAAGATATTTACCAAGCTTGGAGTGTTATCACGAATCATTCTCAACGGAATCCCGGTAAACACTCGACGGCGAGATACTGAGGAGTAGCGGCCGGATGCGCCGCCGCCGGACGGGGCGGACTCTGCGCCTCCCGCCTCCTCTCGATAGCGGCGGTATCGGATCTGACGTCACACATCCCGACGTAGTGGCGTCCACCTGACAGAGTGACGTCACCGATTCCGACACACGGCGCCGGGTGGGGGAGCGGGAATGGCACACCTGACCTGCACACAGTTCAATGTCACTCGACAATTCCTGGTAGTGTTGTTCGCTCCCGATACTGAGTGGGGAGTGATTAGTGAACTTGTGACCGATGTTACGTCACTATCCCTCAGTACCTCTCAGTTCGTTCGCACTTGGTTAGGCGAGCGTTAGCGTGAACAGCAGGGTGGCGTCTGGAAATTGCGCGATCTGTCTGGGTGCGGAACTGCGGAGATGGGCTGCCCGGCTGCACGAAGGCTGCCTTCGCACTTAGATCCAGTGACAAACGTTCTGACCTCCCCAGAGCATCTCGTCAGCGTGACATTGCGGGCTCGCCCGATCCACCGGCGAACGGTGCTCTGAAGCTGGGATGGCATTTCGACCCTAAATTGAATGTCAGTTATTTTTTCGGTCACGGTCACTGGTCAGAAGTGTCAGAACAGTTGCAGTTATTGCTAATGACGTGAAATTGTAGCATGTAATGCGCGGCGTATATTTTGGGCCACAGCTCGGCTACCTAGCAGGACGTGTGGCAGGTACTGATGACTGGACCACCATGCGAAACTGTCGACTGCCGAATGAATTTCCCATGCATATACAGAGTAGAACTATCCCGTACAATAGGTCAACCACGACTAGACTGTCCCATGCAGACTACAGAAGCTGGACCACGAATGACGAAAATGTTGTTTTTATATGTAACGAGACTGCAAGTTTATACCGCATTGGGACTATAGATATTTCATCCATCGAAAAGCTAAACTCGAATTATCGCCATTTACTAAAAGATAGCCGCATTGCTATGCAGCGGAAGGTGCGCGGTCTCCGTCGGGAGAAGCTGCGACCTGCGCGGCGTTACACCGACATGGGTGATGGATGGGTTGTTTTTCCGCCCGCTATCGTGTAGTTATGATAATAGTGAATCGTGCCAGTGTGTGTGGGACTAGGGAGGGGATGAGGGGACGGGAACGGGTGAAGATGAGGGCGGGGTGAGGATGGTGGGATGGAGTTTTAGTTGGTTTTTGGAGCCGAAAATTTATTGAAGTCTGTTAGTTTTAGCATGTCGAAGTATGCTTTGAGATCTTCGTGCTTTGAAATACGTTCAGTACAAAATATGGCCACATGATAGAGCTAAGAGGCTCACAGGGCTTGCAAAATTGTACTTTTTTCATTTGTTGTGTCATGTTTGTTAACTAGTATTTGAAGTCCTAGTTAGAACCGGCCGGGGCTGCGTTATCCCGTCTATGCGGGATTCTTCTCATCTCAGTGAGATGTCTCAGCTATGGCCGGTGCCGTCATTGCTCCGTGCTGGGCTGTCGACTAACGGCCCCCTCCCTCTCTGTGACGCGACAGGATAACGCCGACGCTCAGGAGTGCACCAGTCTCGGCCGCGTGTGCATGAACTCGTGTGCCAACTCGACGGGTGTGGGGCGGACCTGCTGGAACCAGCAGCACTGCCAGACGCTGCAGTTCAAAAGTGAGTACACAGTACACTCAGCACTGCCAGGCGCTGCAGTTCAAAAGTGAGTACACAGTACACTCAGCACTGCCAGGCGCTGCAGTTCAAAAGTGAGTACACAGTACACTCAGCACTGCCAGACGCTGCAGTTCAAAAGTGAGTACCCGCTCAGCTCTGTCAGCTGATACTGCAGTTTAAAAGTGAATACCTACCACAGCACTGCCAGACACGGCAGTTCAGCACGTCCTGCCAGACACTGCAGTTTAAAAATGAGTAGATGTTCACTGTTAAGCACATGCCCGTACCAGCGGCCCTGTGAGATGATGCATACAGTCTTACTCTTAACCCTCGCCCGTAAACGGCGATCTGCCACCTTCGCCCATGCAGGGGGGGGGTTGGTGCGACCCCCCCCCCTTGGCGTTTGAAAACGGAGCGTCGTAGAGCTTAGCGGAAAAGACCAACGGATTGCTCTCGCCGAGATCTCGCGATTGGTGGTATATTTTTTGGTCCTAGGTCAACATTTGACCTACTTTTGACCGGTCCAAGGTCAAATTTTCGGAAAAATAGACTTTTTCAACTTTCCGCGGCGATTGCGGCAAAACGGTGGGTGATATCGACTTGAAACCTTCACTATCGTGTTCCTTGATCAATTCTCTATCGTTTGGTATGTATTTCGTTTCCCTAGCTCTAAAAATGGCGCGTTGGGAGCGCCGGAACTCGGCAAGGTCACAGTCGGCGGCAGAAATTCGAAAAATCAAAATTTAAATTTTTGAAATCTGATTGTATTTTTGGATTTGAAAGGTCCATTTGCTCCCTATAAGGGCTAATATTGCTGCATATTCCCATTGAGGTGACAAGAATTAGCAAAATAGTGGTTCGGGCGCTTTTCAAAAATAGTACCGGACGCTGTTCCTCTTGTGACGTCATAGCTCCGTGACCTGACCTAACCCGGTCAAGTTTCTTATACCATATGATAGCCAATACTTGCCCCAACATGCATGGGAAGTTTCATCACGATCCATCAACCGATGTCCGTACCACCGGCAGGAAACCTCGGGCGTTGGCACTCAGTTTGTGAAAATCCGGCCGGAGGCTGTTCCCTTTGTGACGTCATAACTCCGTGACCTGACATGACCCGGTCAAATTTTTTTTATCAAAAGATGCGCAAGGTTTGCCCCATAAGGTACCCAAAATTTGGCGGCGCTGCGCGCCGCCGTTTTTGCACTATTTCCGAAAAACCTCAGGGGGGGGGTTGCACCAACCCCCCCCCTACATGGGCGAGGGTTAAGGTCAGAAACCTGCCAAAACCAGCAGCAGCTACTTTTTCAGACAAAGCCGTTGAAAACTGCGTGAATACGGCTTACGGGTACCGATGCTTTCTATAGCATAGCAACCGTGTAAATTATACGATATGCATCGATATTCGATATTCATCGATATACAAAATGCATGGGTGGTGATAGCATGGCCTTTGAGCTTTTCTAGGCTTTGTCGAAATATGAGAACCTTTCACGCACCAAGACCAGCGTGTGAACAGGGTCTTGAGACCCTGGTCAGGCTTTGTTTGACATTTCCTCCATGTGAACTTCAGAGATGTTGACTCCTGCTTCGGGAGTTAGGTATACTGCGTTGATGGCGATGACGATTATCAGAACTATTACGAATTGTGTGCTATTTATATTGTATGTGTGTTGTGTTTTATACGTATTAAGTGTCACTGTTAGTCGGTAGCATCTGGGGCAGCAGCTACACATGCCCCCTATATTCCTTCAGCAGTCCAAAGGATCATCCAGAGATACTTCAGTTTCTGCAGTTACCCGCTGACCTGTCTGTGGGGCGTGGTGTCTCAATCCCGTGTCTCTGTGTTCTGGCTGTGGCAATCCCGTGTCCTCAGTCTGCCCCACGCTCCGTTCTGTCTGACCCTTCTGACTATTCTCCCGCTGTGCCCCTGTCTGACCCGTGCCTCTCTCTGTCCCTCAGACTGTCACCCGTTCTGCGAGGGCGGCTGCACCCACACTGGCGTGCGCCCTTCCCCGCGTGACTGTGTCACCTGCAAGGATGTCGTACTCAACGGCGAATGCATGGAGAACTGCCCCAAGGACACATTCCTGGTACGTGACGCAGCCGCGGCCGCCGCCGCGCCGGTCCAAGACGGCCGGGGGAGCCTGGGGGAGGGGGATATTGCCGCAGGTCGCGCGACTGTGTACTATTAGTGAGCGGGGCCACCGAGTTCACCGGGTCAGCTGAGCGGGTTAAGTGCGACACATTTCGCTGAACGTGGTATAAACAGGGTGCGTCGTCGCCGGCCGCCGGCAGTGTTATGTAAACACTGCGGGGCGGGGCGGGACGGGGGTGTCCCTGGCAGGCGGCAGCACCGGGCGGCCGCCGCGCCCATCAGCCTGGACGGAGCATAGTCTGACACCATACCCACGCTGCCGACAGTATGAGGGCTGGCGCTGCATCAGCATGGAGGAGTGCATCAAGATGACGGACGGCACGAAACGGTTCAAAGCGCACATGGGCCAGTGTGTGCTCGACTGTCCGGCCGGCTTCACTGCCAAACTCGACAAGGACGACCGAGAAGTGGGCGTTTGCGAACAGTGCAAAGGTGAGCGTCCGGGGTCGCCGAGCTCACAGAGGTCGCGGTGTTCCCAGTGCGACCAGGCTGCCTTGTCCCCGTCGAAAGGTCGTGGCTAAGGCCTGCGGCCGGTGATAAGGCTAGGTTACAGCTTTGCGGGTGGGTTTACTTGCATCCACCTTCTCTGCTGTTTCAGACTATGTTCATGGATGTTTTTGTTGGTGCTCTGTGTTGATCCTATCGCATTGCTTCGTGCTAATATGACCAGTGGTACTGACTGACATCTGATGACCGTTGTGTTCGCTCCTCAGGTCTCTGTCAGAAGTGGTGCCAGGGTGACACGATGCTCAACTCGATCCGCGATGTGGAACAGATGAAGGGCTGTACGCACATCAACGGCTCACTGCGCATCCAGGTGTCTGGAGGTGAGTGGTAGGGGACGGAGTTGGGACCGCCGCCCAATCAGCCTCCACCTGGCTGAACCAGCTGGTCAGGGAACAGAGAACTACATCCGTCACCCGCTTATTCCCCTCTGTTTGGAGTCCGGGACCCCGTATCAGCGCTCTGTGTCCGGTGCTGACCACCCCGCCGCGTCCCTCTGAGCGCCGAGCACGCTGTGACCCCCGCGTCCTGCGCCGCAGAAAACATCGTCAAGGAGCTGGAGGAGAACCTCAAGGACATCACCGTCATCTCGGGCTACCTGAGGGTCAGCTATTCGGAGCCGCTCGTCTCTATGAACTTCTTGCGAAACCTGCAGGTCATTGGCGGACGCACTCTCGAGTCCAGGTCAGTGTTGACGCCCGGGGGATCCCGTCAGCTCCTAGTGTGTGAAAATGGGAGGGAAGGGAAGAAACTGTACATATGTAGAGTCTCGATTCCAGTTGGTTTGTTGGGTTCGAGAAGTGCGTCATCCTGGGATCCTTATTTCGGAAGGATAGGCATGGATGATGTGATAATTTCCTCTGCAGATTTATCACATCCCGGTAAACAACTTCCGGTAATTTTGACTCTCGTAACCTTAACCAGCTGACTCTTCTCCTCCGTCGGCAGGCAATACTCGCTGTACTTTCTTCAGAACGTGAACCTGCAGTCGCTGTGGCCCAACACGACCAATCTGACGGTGAAGCGCGGCCGGGCGTTCTTCCACTTCAACCACCAGCTGTGCCTGGACAAGATCCATTCGCTGCTGGCGCAGCTCAACATATCCACCGAGGACAATGTGGATGTCGGCCCGATGACCAACGGAGACCAGATCGCCTGTGAGTGTGCTGCCGACCTGCACGCAGCACGGAGGCGCGCTATTTGGGTCAAAATCATGGTGTCTTTACAGTTTTTCGGTGTAGCTGTTTTTATTAGTTCGTGAACAAATAATTTTCGTCGGATAGGCTTGGATACGACGTGCGTGCGTGTCGTCTTTGCTGTTTAGAGTTTGTTGTTTCCTGTGCTGACCGGTTACCACCTCTGCTGTATTATTGCAGGCCAGCGGCTGAACATCAGCGCCTCTGTGAAGAAGACCTACTCAACGTCTGTTCTGCTGGAGTGGGACAACTTCCGTCGCAACGTGACCGATTTCCGCTCGCTGCTCGGCTATAACGTCTACTTCCGCGAGGCGCCGCACCGCAACCTGTCCATGTTCACCGGCCGAGACGCGTGCGGCAGCGACCCGTGAGTGCTCGCACACCCATCGGAGGCGAAGGGGCCCAGGGTTACAGTGCTGTGATACTGTGATATATGTTTACAATGCAATGCGTTTAGGAACCAGGGCTCGCCGCTACTTTATATCATTCAGTGGAACTGAATAAAACTCTAAAACATTTGCGCTCAGTTGCTTATCTCTGTGTTTTGATGTTGACGCGTTTCATTAATGTTTTATTTGTGCTTTCCTTTGTTACTTTGAGAACTCGTAGGCTATGAGTATGCAACACGTTATAGGCCGCCCAGTAAGTCTGTGTTCTTCTGTTTGTGTCGCGCCGTTGTCCGTGTGTCAGGGCTCTGACCTGGCGTTCTCTCTCGTCGCTCCCTCAGCTGGAAGGTGATCGACTTTCCGAACACGGAGATGGGTCCGACGCCAACCAAGGACAAGAACGGCACGCTGGTGCAGGGCGAGCACGCCCCCGTCCAGGAGATGCTGACCAAGCTACTGCCGTTCACGCAGTACGCCTTCTACGTGGAGACCATGATGGCGCTGACGTCGCCCAACACCACCACTGGCCGCTCAGACATCGTCTACTTCACCACCACAGAGAGCAGTGCGTATCATAGGGGGAGGCGGGTGGGGAGAGGGGTGGGGTGTGTCGGAGGGGGGGGGGCTTGTGCCTGGAGGGGAGAGGCATGCATCGTGGATTCAAATGGCATGCTGACGTCTATATAATTATGTACCCGTCCCTGTCATTGAACGTTGTCGCGCCGTCCATCCGAGCTCCCTGTAACTGGTGCCTTTTCCGGCGACCTGCAGGGCCGAGCGTGCCGCGTAACCTGGTACTGGAGCAGGTGAAGGTGGTAACGCTGGGTAGCGGCGGCGGCGGGCCGCGGCTCGAGTCGCTGCTGGTCAGCTGGGACCCGCCGCAGCTGCCCAACGGTATCATCACAGAGTACGAGGTGGTCGCCAGCCACAACGACGCCAAGGAGACCATGCTGCCCGACAACAACTTCTGCAGCAGCGGTGAGTGCACCTACCGACACGGGACAGCAGTGATACACAGGGCAGGGTTGTTCCCGAAGCGCGTCAGCTCTGACACACAGGACTAGGGAGGGGTGCTTCCGACTCACGTCAGCTCTGACACACAGGGTTAGGGACGAGCTCTCCTCAACTCACGTCAGCTCTGACACACAGGGTTAGGGACGAGCTCTCCTCAACTCACGTCAGCTCTGGCACACATGGCTAGGGTGGGTGCCGCCTGACTCACGTCAGCTGCTCTGGCACACAGGGGTGTTCCTGACTCACGTCAGCTCTGGCACACAGGGCTAGGGACGAACTCTCCTCAACTCACGTCAGCTCTGACACACAGGGTTAGGGACGAGCTCTCCTCAACTCACGTCAGCTCTGGCAGACAGGGCTAGGGACGAGCTCTCCTCATCTCACGTCAGCTCTGACACACAGGACTAGGGAGGGGTGTTTCCGACTCATGTCACTTGTCAGCCTCGGTAGACAGGGCTGGACCGAGCTGATGCGCTCCTCGATACACAGTGCCACTCGACTTAGTCAGTCCCCGAGCCGACACACACGGCTTGGTGAGCTCAAGACGCAGGGCTAGGAAACTGACGGGAAGCTTTATAGCATAGTGAAAACTGGGAAGTAGGAGTTACTTTGAATATTTGAGAACTTTTTCATAAGTCGACTATTAATACATCATTGCTAGGGCGTCTTTTCATGTTAGGGAGTGCAAGAAAAGGTATCGATTTTTTCAGATAGGTAATTTGGTCTTTGCACTGTGGTGCGCCTTCAATGCCTCTAACGTCGCCATGTAGTCCCAATAAATGTACAATAGCCGTTTTCACGACGGGCTATCCGGCGAATGGACCTGATTTGACCAAATCTGCACCTAGTTTCTTTTACAGCAAATATCATCATTTTATGGATTTATTTCAGTGTTTTAATCGATGATGCTCTCTGATAATATGACAAAGCACTAAGCAGGCATATAAGCAATTAGTGCAACCCTAGCTGATAGCTGCTAAGAGACACACTGAACCTGATTTGACCAAATCTGCACCTAATCTGCACCAGATGTGCACCAAATGTGTACCAGATGGCCGTCGTGAAAACGGCTAATACCTGCCCATTCTCTGACCCATATAGGACGTATCTCTCTCATCACCTCTCCGTGTGTGGCCGCGGTGTAACCCTCTGCCGCCGTCACAGGTCTGTCGTCTGAGCCGCGGCCCGTGGTCACCACCCCCAAACCGACCACCACGACCACACCCAAGCCTCAGTGCTGCGCGTGCCCGGCCGAGGGCGCCCCTCCGGAGACAGGCGGGCCGACCATCGACCAGCGGAAAACCACCGACCAGATCTACTTCGAGAACCTGCTGCAAAACTCCATCTTCGTGCGGAGGTCGTCCAAACGCAAGGCGGGCACCAGCACTGTGTGAGTAGCGCTGGGGCATTGGAGTGTCAGGATACTTGATGCCTCGACTGATCGCTGAATGGAACGTTTTGAGGCGAGACATGATATTATATATAACTTATATTGAGAAGCTTGAAAAACTACAAAAGCGTGTAGTAAGAATGATTGATGGACAAGACAGATTTGCCCACACTGCACCCATTTTTAAGAAGCTGAAGATCCTTCGTCTGAGAGACATGGGCAAGCTACAAATGATGCTATTGATGCATAAAAAGTTGAATGGTACTTTGCCCACGCCTCTTGACGAACTTTTTACTGTTTTTGAACCGCTCCGAACCACCCGTTCACTTCATCACTTCCAGGAAACATTTACACACAAATTATACTGTACGCACACAGTACGTTGGGCTGGACCCAGGCTTTGGAACCAAGTTATGGGGCCAAAGTTCCCAAACCTACGAGACGTTCCAACCTCCAAGAGACTTATCAAAGGTCTCTTAAAACAATTTTTCTTTGATTCTTACTGAACTGACACAATTGACCACGCATTTTATATTACAATAACTTTATACATTTTCATGCTGTCACAGTTCACCCCCGCACTGTTTTTGTCTGTATATTTGTATACAATGTGATAAAATGAAGGAGACCCATAATGCCACTGCGTGTTTACAATAACATAGGTATTATGCATATATACCTAAACCAGAGCGAGAGGTGGTCTACTTCGATGAATCGTTATCTCACTATGTCATCATTGTATTTTGACCTCTTTAATGTATTTGTGCTTTCCATTTTTTTTTCTTTAGTTACGCTACCGTGTATTTTCCTTATATCTTTTTCGTGGAGTCACTCATGTATGTGTTGTGTTCGCATTCTCGAATTCATGTTTGTAACAACATGATATATTTCGACCGCTTATAAACTACGTAACAATACGTAACACTTCAAATAACGCCCTGACGTTTGCCCGCTGATTTGAGTTCGCTGAGCAACAAGCTTGCTTAGCTCGGCGGCTCTTTTCAGTGGGCATTTGACTCTGCCGAACCCAGACCAGATACTGTCCCCCCCCCCCGCAAAAATGTGTGAATGCGCTGCACGATTAACCTAACTAACCGATGGAATGACTGATCCTTTGGCTTATTCTTAAATGGGAAGGTGTAGTGGTCAGTCAAGCTACATTTAGCCTTGACTTCTTTGCTTCTCTTTTAAGCCATATACCATACTAACAAGGGCCTTACCGCGCTTATTCCAGCTTTGATTTTGTTTTCTTCATTCTCCTAGCAGGGAGTGTCGCGACTTGATGTATTATGTTTCGGGGTGGTGTTAACGTAAGGTTCTATGTGTCGCGCGGGTCAGTGGGTGGACACTCCTGGTCGTCTATTCATGGGCGGCGGCTTAAAAAAAAAAAAATATCCGTTGATGAATTTGAATATGCTCTCACAGTCTTCTACTTGGTCCAGGTTGAGCGGATCCTTTGCGATGGGAGTAGACGTTTGATGCTGATTTCTTGGAAACTGACTTGGTCTTCATTCTTACGACAAGCAGATGCTTCACTTATAATTTATTCATGTTTTTGTCATATACTTCACAAAAGCTATACACATGTAAGAAAATAATAGCTAGACCTTTTCCCATCGCAGCCAGTCGGTGTTCGTGCCGACTTTCCGGGCGTCATTTCACTGGGTGTACCCTCGACCCGTTCCGTTTCAGCCCGACGGGTCGCCGCCGGCGGAGCATTGACGGCGAGCCACTGGCCAACAACATCACCATCGGCAACACCAGCGTGCACCAGGACGGAGAGGGGCGCACCAACGCCACCAACGTCACCGGGCCCTGCGTCGACCGACAGGGAGGTGCGTGTAGCTGACAAGGGATGGTGGGCGTACCTGACAGGATAGTGAGCGTACTGACAGTGGGCGTTGGTTGTACTGACAGTGGGCGGTGGGCGTTGGGTGTACTGACAGTGGGCGTTGGGTGTACTGACAGTGGGCGGTGGGCGTACTGACAGTGGGCGGTGGGCGTACTGACAGTGGGCGGTGGGCGTTGGGGGTACTGACAGTTGGCGGTGGGCGTTGGGTGTACTGACGGTGGGCGGTGGGTGTACTGACAGTGGGCGGTGGGTGTGCTGACAGTGGGCGGTGGGCGTACTGACAGTGGGCGGTGGGCGTACTGACAGTGGGCGGTGGGCGTTGGGTATACCGACATTGGGCGGTGGGCGTACTGACAGTGGGCGTTGGGTGTACTGACGGTGGGCGGTGGCCGGTGGGCGTACTGACAGTGGGCGTTGGGTGTACTGACGGTGGGCGGTGGACGTACTGACACACCGAGTACTGGGCGTGCGGACGGCGCGAGGTGTGGTTAGCGGGTGCTGGGCACTGATGGTGGGATGCACTCAGGACAGAGCGGAGCGCACGATTGTTGGCTGTGGCATTCCGTCTGGCGTGTTGTGTGTGACTCTCGGCCGTCCGCGGCACCCCGGTCTCACCTCCCCTCCTCACTGTGTCGTGTCGCCGCCAGCCTGGTGTAAAAAGTACCAGATCCGTCTGCCAGCCAACGAGACCAAGAACAGCACCGTTCTGCACGAGCTGCGCCACTTTGCCGAGTACACAGTGAAGGTGCGCGCGTGCCAGAACCCCAACAGCAGCGGAGAGCGACTCTGCAGCCACTACACGATCGCCAGCAAGAAGACCAGGAGCAATCGTGAGTGCTGGGAACGGGGAGCGATGCGCTAGGGTGACAGGACGTGTAGATGCGCTAAACACTAAACGCTTCAGTTGGGTAATTGATTTAGTGATTACTCATTGAGTCGGTGCATTTCGTTGCTTCTTTATTTCGCTCACTCATGCCATTCTCCCCCATGATCTCACCTTTTACCTACCGTCCGCCCGCTCGGTTGATCTTTCTTTCCGCCTTCCCTCCGTCGGTCCCACGTCTTTTCTGTCTGTCGTTCCTACGCTCTCCCTCTCCGCCTTCTGATTCTCCGCCGTCCCCCGTCCATCCGCCTACCCGACTGACGCCCCTCGTCGCCCCTGCAGCGGCCGCCGACGCGCTGCAGCGACCGCCGACCATCTCTAACCACACTGTGGGCGGTCACGTGACCCTCAACTGGATGGACCCGCCCGACCCGAACGGCGGATCGGTGCTCAGCTACGTCATCTACACACAGCGCATGGACGACGAGCGCGTCAAGGTGGGGATGACAGGGGTAGAGACAGTGGGTGGGACACGTCTGTGTTGTTAGAAAGACGTAGCCACATTGTTTTAACTCTTCTTGGTCTGGAAATTCCTCTTTGTTACATACATATTTGATGTCCTTGTTTTGTCGTTCATTTCTTCTTGATGGCGTACACTATGTATTATGTAATATAACTTGTAATTTGTAATAGAACTATAGCTTGTATAATTTGTTAGATAATTTGTGCACGCTTATGCAATTTTGCATCGGGCTGTTGGTTCATCATTTGCGCGGCCAGCACCTCAATTGGCATGGGCATGTCGGTCGTACTACCCCCATCTGAGAGTGTCCACTGGGCAGTGTTTTATGTATGCTGCTTACCAGTCTCCTCTCGACTGACACTCTTCCCTTCCCCTTTCACGTGCCGCAGGACCCCACCATGATTCGCAAGTGTGACCTGATCAAGTGCAAGAGCCCGCCGTGTGAGCGTAAACACGAGGTGCAGCTGTCGCCGGGTAACAACAGTCTGCGCGTGCAGGCGGTGACGGCCGCCGGCCACGGCCCGTTCTCCGAGCCCGTCTTCTGGGTGGTGGAGGTGAGCGGACCGGAGCGGCCGCCGCGCGGGGTGCTCTTTATTCGGGGCCGGCTTCGCGTTTTGCTAACGTCTTGTGAGCGATCTTTTCGTGGACCTCTCTTATCACTTGTGGGGCTGGGTAGTGATTTACTGATAAGCTGCTTCAAATAACATCGCCCCAAAACGTTGTGTGACGTACACTATTTGATCCGATTTGTGGTAGCCGCACCTGGCACACTGCGGCTGACCCATAGCTACAAATGCCGATCGCTCTTTTGTTGACGGGAAGGCGTCTGACACTGTTGCAGCTCTGTGATCAATGCTCTATTGCCGGGCATGTGCTAGTGCCCTGTCGAATCTGACCTGACCCGACCTCCTCAGGCTCCACACGGCGCCCTCTCGGCCAACACCATCGTCGGCATTGTGCTGGGCCTGCTGTGTGTCCTGATCGTCTGCTCGGTAGCCGTCATAGTCGTCTACAAGCGGGTCGCCAAGCAGTCGATCGACAACATCTACACCTCGTGGAACCCCTACTACGGTGGGTGTGCCAATCTAGTTTCCATTGCTCGGAAATCAGAGACGCATTTTTTCTCAAGACTGATGGCTCAACATCGGGATGCAATGGTGGCACTGGCAGTCCTTCATGTTACTGCACAGATTTGTAACAAATCGAGGCCATTTTAAAATTAAGTAGCCACCATCTCTCTCCTGTCATTCTGTAACATTTTCTGCTTAACTTTATAAGCTGCCGCATCAGCTCCATTCGCTGCTATTGACTACTGAGACGTTACGCTTCACGGTGATCGGTCTGACCTGACCTCTGCCCCCGTCCGCCGTCCCCAGGCGGCCAGATCTCGTACCAGCCGGACGACTGGGAGGTGGACATCGAGAAGGTCCACTTCGACCACGTCATCGGCAAGGGCTCGTTCGGCAGCGTGTACGAGGGCACGGCGCTGCTGAGGATGTCGCGCGACGGGCCCGACGACACTGAGCACATGTGTCGCGTCGCCATCAAGACGCTGCTGGAGGACGCCAGCATGTACGACCGGCAGGCGTTCCTGTCGGAAGCCAGCCTCATGAAGTGAGTCCGAGGAACTGGACCGGGTGGGATGGGGCGATAGCGCTGGGTTTAAATGGTTTTGAAGCATAATTTGAAGTCGACTGTTTGGTGTGTCATAAATCTGCCCACATTGTAATGGCCTACGTCTGTGGCAGCCCGCAATATCGATTAATCGCCGCCGCCGGCTCGTGTGTAGCTGCGTAGTTCACGGTGTTTTTATTGTAGTTTGTGTTCCGGGACTGCCGGGCAATCGATCGATCCCGGACTGTTCCCCGGGCTGAGCGGTGTTGTTGTTTGACTTTCCACTGAACTGTGTCTACTCGCCGAATATATCGTGTGTGGGGTCCGCGGATGGTATAAACTGGTCTGAGTTGGCGATGTGAGGTGCCGGTGTCTGCTCGCCCAGACCGTGAGCGCTCCGTCTCCAATGCCAGCCGCGAGTGGCCCATCCCCACCGGTCCGCTGACGGCGCCCCCTTCGTGCCGCGCAGGGGTTTCAACTGCTACCACGTGGTGCGTCTGATGGGCATCGTGTCCAACATGAACACCAAGTCGTCGGACAGCATCCCGCGGCCGCCGTTCGTCATCATGGAGCTGATGTCGCGCGGCGACCTCAAGTCGTACCTGCGCAGCATGCGGCCGGAGGATGACGGCGTCTCCGTACCGGAACACTGCCCAGTGCTGCCGGTAAGGCTTCATCACTGTCCCGTGCTGCTGGTAAGGATTTACCACTGCCCAGTGCTGCCGGTAAGCCGATATACCTGACTGTCCATTGCTGCTGGTAAGGATTTACCACTGCCCAGTGCTGCCGGTAAGCCAATATACCTGACTGTCCAGTGCTGCCGGTAAGGATTTACCACTGCCCAGTGCTGCCGGTAAACCGATATACCTGACTGTCCAGTGTCCAGTGGTAAGGATCTTCCTCTGTCCCCATCCTGCCGGTATAGGCCATGCCAGCAGACTACCTCAGTGGCGTGTTACCATATACTCTCTGCCAACTGGTTCTGGGAGTCAGGAGTTTGACAATCATTTTTCTTTATCCGCTACTCGACCTCACTCCCGCCACCTTGGTATCCGGCCACCCTCCCCCTCGCACCTTATTCATACACGAATCTCGATGCCAGTTTTCACCGTTCATGTCTCCAAGAAGTCACACCACCCTGACGCACTGTTTGACCCTCTGGCCTTACCGTGACCTGACCCAGCCGTGACCTGACCGCGTCCCCTGTGTCACACAGCACATCTACCAGATGGCGATTCAGATTGCCGATGGCATGGCGTACCTGACCCAGATGAACTCGGTGCACCGCGACCTGGCCGCGCGGAACTGCATGGTCACCGAGGACATGACCATCAAAATCGGCGACTTTGGCATGACCAGGCACCTCTACGAAAAGAACTACTACAAAAAGGGTACGTGACTGTGTGAAATCACTGGGGTGGTGGGTTTCGGCATATCTCGCGTTTTTAACTCGTGATGAGTAGGACAAGGCCCATGGCCCGCTTAGTCGCTTTAGACTGGTTCTCAGAGTGATGAATTAGTTACTTATTTGTATTTGCCATCGTAGAGCGGTCCACTCAAAGTGTGGCTATTAAGCTCCGAGTCAAACATGGTCGCTGTCATGGATAAAAAAAAAACACACACACACACACACACACACACTCATACACGGTACACAGGGCTACCCCTGTGCTGTGGCGGCCACGGCTGTCGGAACGGTCACGTTCGGTGGAGATCCAGCAGGCGTCTCTTCACGGTACGTGAAAAACGCTGCTGGCTAAGCGGTGTCAGGTCACTCGACAGCCGGTTGTAGAGGGCAGGTGCCCTCGAGCAAAAGCGTCTCTTGCCGGTCTCGGTGTTGGACCTCGGCACGTAGAGCTGCCCGTCCTGCCTCGTGCGCCGGGACCGCCGGTCACCGTTGCACACGAATGCAGCCGCTAGTGCAGCCGCTTATGTACTTGCTGTCCCTTCACAGCGACGGGGCTAAGTCAGTTCGCCTCACCCAGGGCAGTGTTTGTCTGCCTTTGACTGTAAAACTGTCTGACCACCGTCGATCGGTCGGGTACATGAATCTGAGTCTGACTGTGGCTGTCCGCGTCCCCAGGCGGCAAGGGCCTGCTGCCAGTGCGATGGATGGGCCCCGAGTCGCTGCGAGACGGCCGCTTCACCTCGCAGAGCGACGTCTGGAGTTTCGGCGTAGTACTCTGGGAGATGTGCACGTACGCCGCCCAGCCGTACCAGGGACTCACCAACGAGGAGGTCATCCACCACGTGCTCACGCGCAACCGGATGGCGCGGCCGGCCAACTGTCCGGAGCGGCTTTACGAGCTCATGTACCGGTGCTGGGAGTACCGGCCCGACGACCGGCCCACCTTCATCAAGCTGGTCCAGGAGCTGCTGAACTACGACATCGGTGACGAGTTCGCCAAGCACAGCTTCTACCACACGCAGTGGCCGCAGATGGTGGCCGAGGCGGAGGCGCGCGAGGAGGCCGAGCCCACGGTGCTGACGCCGCTCACCCACGGCCTGTCCGACGCGCCCGTCGGCCTGGGCCGCCGGCCGCGCATCGCCGAGGCCGAGGACCTCAGTGACGAGGAGTGTGAGATGGAGGTGCGCGCGCGGCCGGCGGCGCGCCAGCCGCGCCCGCTGGCCGACCCCGAGGCGGCCAACTACGCCGAGTTTGAGGAGATGCGCCGCAACGGCGGCCACGGCTCGCTCTCGTCGGCCGAGAACAGCAAGGCGCACAGTCTGCAGTTCTCCTCGAGCGACGGCAGCAAGGGCAGCAAGGCCAGCAACGGCAGTGCGCGGAACGGTTACATTGCCGGCGGCGGCCTGAGCCATGTGCAGAGGACTGCCGAGTGCTAGTGGACGGTGCGCGCGTGTGTGTGACGAGTTCGTTGTTTTGAGTACAAACCTCACTGAAGCTCCAATAGCTTATTGAATAGTGCTTGTTTTTTTACAGCTACCTCGTACGTTTTGTCCAGGGACCATTCGTGAGAGCTATAAGAAAAGATCTATGTAGCCGAATTTGTCTGAGTTTTCGACATATCCTGAACTGGAGCGGCGCATGTCGGGCCCCGAGCCGGCGTCCGGTGCGCCGGCGCCCCAGTCCGCTGAGACCAGTGCTCTCCTAATTTGCTCATCATAGGAATGCCGAACTAGTCACCGAGTCCTCACGACGGCGGCCGCGTGTCGGGCCGGGCGCCGCGTGGTGTGGCGCGCGGCACACACCCACACACGAGACACACCGACCCGTTCAGTTCCTGTGACTGTGCCAAACGAGCCTGGCGACCGACCGCGCGCGCCGCCGCCCCGCTCCGCCCGTCTGTCTGTCCGTCTCTGGCCTCTCTCTCGGTTGTGAATCGGCCTGCTCTCCGTTCGGTCCCGGCGCTGCTCCGTTGCGTGTGTTGCCGCCCGTGTCGTGCTTTTGTATTCGTTTAGCTGTGGGCTGCCAGTCAGGCGGGCCGAAGTCTGTCGCCGTGCTGCGCCGTGCCGCGCCGCGCGGCATAGAGACCACGTTGTGATGTACATTTGCTGGCGTCATTTGCGGCGAGCCTGTGTGCGCCACTGAGTGTCGCGCCGTCGCCGAACGCTGCCGCGCCACCTTCCGTACTCATCTTCAGTGTTCAGTGTGGAGAGGCCCGGCGCGGGTCTGTGTAGTGTCCATCCATGGCGCGCGCCGCCGCCGCCGCCGCCGCCGCCGCCGACCGACCGACCGTCACCGTCACAGTAGATGTGCTAAACTGAACTCGCGAGTGAGGGCGCGCGTGGTCGGCCGGCCGGCGCGCCGCGCCCCGGCGGCCGGCCGGCGCGGCGGCGCGATGGTTCCCAGTGCGTGGCCGTGGTCGGCTGCCTCATCCTGTGTCGACATCCGGCAGCTAACGACACGAGAGCGCAGTTCATATTTAACTTGTATTTGGTAAGCAAACGGGTAAATATATACGGCACTCGTCCGTCTAACGGAGTGGGCGAGTTTGATGGGCGGCTGACCGGCCCCGCTCGGGCTACATGTCCAGTGCCCTGTGCCACGGATCTCTGGCCGGCCGGGGTTTGGTGATGGCTCGGTGATCACGCCACGAGCGGCGGCGACTGCGACGGTCCGCGCCGGGAGCCGAGCGGCGGCAGGCTGGTGGATCCCTCGATCCCTGTAATGATTTCCCCTGATCCAGCGACGCCGTGAGGGTAGTTGTTACGCATGTAGTTTGGTAACATTACGAACGATTTCTTCAGAGACGGCCTAAATATTCAATTAATTAAAAGCAACATGCAGTGCTCTCAGCAACCACCTGACCTGTGCCTGACGGCCAAGATGCGACACTAAGTTTATTTTCGCAGCCAGGTGTCTCCTTTACAGCCTACTTTGCACCGGTGTAAACCTTTGTATCCTACGAAAACCAGATTCTACGTGGCACCTGAACACCTTTTGAACAGGGCCTTTGGTTTAGAATTGAGACGATGCTCGGCACCCGAATTTTCTCCCGGCATGACTTTGGGCTATTGATGTTCGACAGCAATCACGTGACCACCAGACGGCAGTTATGTACAGGCCATGTACAGGCAATACGAGTTCGGTCCATATTCTGTATTGGGTGACATACACGACGATCGGACACAACGGCTATGGGATATGACGAGGAAACCACCCATATCCGAGCAACACTGCCAAACGTACCCCGGCTCCGCCCATGACTAGGTGGCAATGCCGCCAACACAAATATATGATCCAAATGACAGAACAAAATAAGAGTCATCCATGTAAGCACTTCTTTATGGGACGTGATCAGCTGAGCTAATAAAAACACAAACAAATATTCAGACTATTTTCACAAAATAACGGTACAACACTACACAGGTAGTCATATTGAAGCAGTAACAAACACATATAAGCCGTATAATCGATCGGCAAACGAATCAGCTTGCAAAGGCATATCTCATTATTGAAGACTAAAACAGATGGCTCGTTTTGACGAAATCGTAACAAAATTAATCTCCATCATTATTGCATAAAAAATACAAACAAGAATTAAGAAAAACCTACATGACAATTGACATACGATGATGCATGATCGAGACGAACTCTTGAAATGACAGCCTTGTGAGCTCGCCCTGAGCTTCGGGCGAGCAGCTCTCGCCAGCTGGGCAGCTGCTCTGTTCCCTCGGGTCCAGCTGTTCCACCAGCCGCTCGGCTTTCCCTTGGATGCAGCTGCCGCTCCCCTAGTCCGCCGTCCTGTTCCCCTCGGTTCACAGCGCCCTTCCAGCGGCCACAGCGGCTCTCTCCGGTCGGACCGACAGTCTCGCCTCTCGGCGGCCTCCGCCCGCGCTCGGCGGCGCCCATCACCGTTTGCCGTTACGGTAACGTTTGCGCGCCTGCGCCTTGGTGAACTTGTGGTGCCGGGCGGCCGGCTGCTCGGCGGCCGCGTCCTCCCCGTCTGCAGCGCCGCCGGCGGCCGGGTCGTCTCCGCTGGTGGCCGGGTCGCCGCCGAGCAGGTCCAGCGGCGGCTGCAGCAGCGAGCGTCTCTGGCCGGCCAGGTACAGCCGGTACCCCTTGCAGAGACCGTACCCGGCGCCGGCCACCAGCAGTACTAGCATTATCTGCGCCACCGGGTGCTGCAACACGGGCGGACGATAAGAGGCGGTTAATTTTACGCCCCACACAAGATACAGAAAATCTCGGGCAAACAACAATGCAGGGAACAACCTGGCATACATAGCATACAGAGATGACCCGAGCACACAGCACAGAGAAAACCCAGGCACACACAGCACAGAGAAAACCCAGGCACACACAGCACAGAGAAAACCCAGGCACACACAGCTGAGCACAGAGAAAACCCAGGCACACACAGCACAGAGAAAACCCAGGCACACACATCATACAGCGAAAAGCCCAGCCACGTCAACACTTCACCAAACGAACATCAACATGGCCAGAGATTTGACGCACTGTGAGCAGAGGGAAGACATCTCACAAGCAGGGTTGTATACGACTCAATCAATAGCAATCAATTAAATCACGACAAATCTGGGAAACCAATCAAATCAATCAAGTCAGAGCAGTTTTCGGGAATTGATTCAATCGACTCAAACGCAACAATGAAAGGAATCAATCAACTCAATCAAACGACTCAAACCAAGATATACATTAGGTTTTTTGCCCCACCAACTTGGAAAAGTGTCAATAGCAGTCTGGTGTACCTACCTACCTACCTACCTACCTACCTACCTACCTACAGAAGAAACATAAAAATATTGTCATTTAAAATTACAAATTGCCATGCCATTCAAAGTTTCTATGTAATAAGGAAGGATACCGTGATGGACAGGTGGATCATGATATTGAGGTTCAATGGGTATTGGAGCAGAAGTTTCATTTAATGGGTGCAAAATAACCCAGTAGTTGACTCGCCCCTTAACCCAAATCACCACCTTTCACCTAAAAGTTGTCAATTTAATTTTGGCCATATTCCAACTCCATTTACACTAAATATCAGATATTGCAGTTGAAAGTTGGCTCCTCGGATTTTGGCAGTGTTCGTGATTTGGCCATTTACCCTACACCATGTCTATTTTAATGGATAATATGCATCAATAATACATTAACCATAGGGCAGGCGCGGATCCAGGGGGGGGGGCGACGGGGGCGGTCGCCCCCCCCCCCCCCCGCCATCCGAAAAAGGCGCCCATATCCCGCGGCAGAGAGGGCGCCCCGAGCAGAGGAGCGGCGACACAGCAAAGGTTCAGCAGAAATAGGGCGCCTCCAGCAGAAGCTGGGCTCACCAAGCAGGAGAGTGACGCCCAATTGCATATTCCCAGCAGATGAGAGTCGCCCCAGCAGCAGATGGGCGCCCCTAGCAGAAGAGGGCGTCTCGTTACAAGAATATATGTAAAATACCTTCTGTTCAAGAGGGGCGCCCCTGGCAGCGGAAGGGCACCCTTAGTAGGAGACGTGTCCCCCTGAAGAGGAGCGACGCCCCAACAAAAGGAGAGAGGCGCCCCATTCCGAGAAGAGGGGCGCCCTGACAGCAGCTGGGCGCCCCAGCAAAAAAGGAGCCCCATAATAAGAAAATGGGTGCCACTGGCAGAAGAGGGGCGCCCCAGCAGAAGAGAGGCGCCACAGCAAAAGTTAATCAGAAATAGGCAGCCTCCAGCAGCAGAGGTTGGGCCCGCCAAACAGGATATGGGCGCCCCATTGACAATATCCGGCAGAAGACAGACGCCCCAGCAGCAGATGGGCGCCCCCGGTAGAAGAGGGGCGCCCCATTACAAAAAGAAAAAGAGTATATTCTACCAAGAGGGGCGCCCCTGACGACAGCGGAAGGGCAACCCCAGCAGAGGAGCGGTGCCCCAGTAAAAGGAGAGGTGTGCCCCGTTCCGAGCAGCAAAGGGTCGCCTCGCCCCAGAAAAAAAAAAAACAGGAAAAACGGCCCCATAAGAAGAAAAGGAGTGCCTCTGGCAGAAGAGAGACGTTCCCCGCAGTGGAAGGGCGCCCCCACAAGAGTGGCGTCTCCAACAAAAGAGAAGTGCCCCCTGCAAGAGAGGGGCACCCCACCAAAAGTTGGGCAGAAGTGGGGCGCCTCCAGCAGAATTTGGGGTCGCCAAACAGGAGAGGGCCGCCCTATTTACAGTAGAAAAGACTCCTCAGCAGCAAAGGGGCGCCCTAACAGAAAAGGTGCACTCGTAGTAGAAGTGGGACGCATCAGGAAGAAGAGGGGCACTTCTAGCAGAAGATGGGCGTCCCAGATAAGTGGGCCGCCTACAGCAAATTGGTCGTTCTTAGAAGGAAGAAATGAGGCGACTTAAGCAAAGTGGGTCTCTCCATAATGGATTAGGCGATCAAAGCAGAGGTTGGGTGCCCCCGGGAAGTGAGGCATACCAGCATAAGTGAGACGCTTCCAGAAAAAGGAGGGGGCATCACCGGGAGAAGGAGGACTGCACCAGTAAATGGAGGTCACCTTTTTGCTAATATCTTTTGCTAGGGTAGCGGTGCCCAGCTACGACTTTTAACCCGTGCCGTGCTGGTGGTCTGAGTTTTCCGTGTCCTGCTGGGGAGGGGGGGGGCACACTCCCTCGTCTAACTCAAACGGTCATTTTTTAGGTCAGGTCGAATGTCAGGTCACCAGAGGTCATCAAAGGTAAAATGTTGCCTGTTTCAACATTTTTCGGTTTCCAAGCAGCGGCACATAACTCGGAAACCAATAGAGCTATAGCGCCGCAGAAAAGCGCATTCGATAGCCCTTTTAAAGGTGTTTCTGCAAGCTGCGCTCAGATTTGACCTCAGGTCAACTCAGGTTTAGCATTCAGAGGGCAAAAGACTCTAAAAATAGCCTTTTTACGAACAATGTTTTCCTGCAATAACTTTTGACTCAAGAGAGTCTCGACATTACGTTTGCCAGCATTGCGTTTCTGTCGTCGAGACACTTCGAACAAACTAAAGGTTGACCTTATGAAGGGTAATTTTGAGAATTTGACCTCAGGTCAAGGTCATGACCTGACCGGGAAATGTCATGCTGCATAGCAGTCGATGCGTATCGTCGAGCTGAACACAGCTGAGGTGTTTTTATCGCTCTAGCTTGAATCTATCAAAAGTTATTAAAAAAAAACTGCTGCGGACCTTTCATGACATGGGATGACCTCTGGGACATAATGAGTGGTCACACTAGGTGCAATGTTCTTATTCAGTGTGCTAATTTTATATGTATCCCAATGCTTGATATTGTCTAGAATGGCGCTCGTCCAAAAGAGATGCCTTTCAGTTTTCTCCCAAAGACTTAATTATACTTACCTATCTAATGGAGACGTCGCACAACTGACCTGACCTTAGGTCAGAGATATCGAAATTCCGAGATATACATTTCATGAATAGTGTTGCTTTCATCAATCGCTGAAAGGTTCAAAGCAATCGTTCAGTCGGTATAGCAATGGTAAGCATTTGAACTTTTTCTTAGGCTGGGTCACTTGGCATAACCTGGTGACCTGACCTTCCATCACCCGCGTCAGACATTTTTACAACATGTGCAAAAAAGATGCATGATAAGGTATGCTGAAAATGGCGGCGCTGCGCGCAGCCGTTTTTCAGATATTTGCGAAAAACCTGAGGGGGAGCGCGATAACGCCCCTAGCACGGCGCGGGCTTTTAGCTCCCGATTTTGACGGTTTGGCGCCCCCTTTGTATGGAGCGCCCCCGGATTGCCAGGTCGCCCCTATTTCGACTTGCCGCCCCCCCTCCCGAAAATTCCTGGATCCGCCCCTGCCATAGGGAAATAGAATTAAATATCTTACCTGCATGTGACGGTTTCGATTAGACAGAGACTGACGGGCAGCCTGAAAAATCTTTCCACACAATGTGCATTTGAGACGTGGGATGTTGTCAGATTGGGAAGGAAGAGATTTGAAGTATTTAGCGGTCCACGACTCTGGACGTGGCATGTCAATGTTAGGTACCTATGTGAAGAATTCAAAACATTTTATTGCAATACAATTTGAAAGCAAGCAAGCAGTTATTTATAGAGTTCAGTTGGTTGTTTCTGAGGAGATGTGGAGATGTGAATTATTAATTAATCACACTTTATTAGTATATAGGGCCTTGCACTTTATCATCTGAATTTAAAAAAAGTTGCCTGCTGAGTGCAGAAAGGTAGGTAGGTGCATCGCCAGGTTCTATCACCAGGATTGGAGCAGTTATGAGTTATTGCAGTTGAAAGTCAAAGTAGGCTGTTCATGTTTAGGCCCTGTTCTTTATTTGGCCATCTACCCCATATGTATTGCAGTTGTGATGACAAGCAGTTTTCAGTGTAGTTTTGTGATCTTTGATGTCATCAATTGGTGTCATTATTTTCGTCAACTAAAACTTATTTGAACTTTCCATTCAATCGACTCAATCATACGAGTCATTCTAATTTTCGGGAATCAAATCAGTCAACCAGTCGCTAAAGTCAAACGAGTCAGTCAACCAGTCATCTCGAAAAGTCAATCGACTCAATCCAATCAACTCAAAATACGCGTTGAAACAAATCAATCAATTCAATCGACTTGATTGGTATACAACCCTGCTCACAAGGCGCCTGGGTGATATCTCACAACGTGAGCGTGTGTGCCTTCTCACAAGAGCGTGGGTGTCATCTTGCAATGTAAGCGTTGGTGACATCATTATTCTCACAGCGTGAGCGTGACATCTCACCGTGACCGTGAGCGTGGGTGACATCTCACCGTGAGCGTGTGTGAGATCTCACCGTGAGCGTGGGTGAGGCGGTGAGCAGCAGGTCGGCGAGCACCAGCAGCACTCCCAGCACGATACCGGCGCCGGCCCCCAGGTACGGCAGCTGCCGGTCACCTGAGGACACCGCCGCCGCCGCCCGTTAGAAAATGACAGGGAAATGCCCACGACGCCGTGAAGGGATTGGAGAAGTACGGTGTGGATGAAAATAGGAATTAGATGTAAGCACTCAGCACAACTGTGATCAGCGTGATGCAATAATAATAGTGGCAAGCAAATGAGAGGAGGCTACCGATGGAACCTAAAAAAAACGGACAAAAGTACGGCGGAAGTAGGAAAAATACTAAGCCTTGTTTGCAAATATAAACACAACTCTCAGGTAGCAGAGTACGCTAGCTGATATTTCCTGTAAAACTGCAGTCTGCAGGACATATGTTACTGATAAAATGACAAGTCCCGTCGTCAATAGCCTAATAGTCAAAAGCCCCGTCCAATCAGCGCTACATTTCGGACGCGCCGCGGCGGTACATACCGGCGCGCTGGGCCCTTGCCGACGTGGTGGCCGTCTGTATGGCCGTCAGCAGGGCCGGGTCGTGCGGCTGCAGCGCCAGGGCCTGCGTGAACGAGATGCACGCGTCCGAGAAGAAGCCAGCGGCCATCTCCACCTGGCCCTGCCGGTAGTAGCCCTGCAACGACCGCAACACGTGCTTAGCTCAGAGAACTGAGAGGGATGGCGTCTCAGTGAGGGAAAACTGTCAGACATGGCACATGTGGCTACTTTAGATTAAAAAAAAGCATCTCATATGAATGAATAGTAAATGGGTAACACTCAAATTACCAAGCATCCATCATACAGCCCAAACATTTGACCATCTCAGCATCATTACAGAGCAATGCACCCTTGAGCTGAGACACTTTGTTCCAGTGTTGCCAGGGATACCTACGTACCTTTGGCCACTTTGGCTCTAGCTGGATGGCCCTCCTGGCATCCTCCAGGGCCAGGTAGTGCTGGTCCAGCTTCAACAGCACATGACTCCTGTTGCTGTACAAAGGTGGTTTCTGGGCTCACGCTTGATGGCATGAGAGTAGTGGAGCAATGCCTCATGAAATTTGCCCTCCTTCAGGCAGGCATTGCCCCTCTCCTTTAGCTCCAGGGCCTGGGAGGGCAGACAGCTCATGATCCATCAGCATACTGACACTGTGCACTCACTCTGATTGGTCAACCAAGTCATCATATATATGATTACCCACACAGACAGCCATTTCAGCACATCTAATCAATAAGTTATCAAAGGTATAAACTGCAACTGACAATTTTTGTCAACATGTCTGATGTCACATAGTTTGTGATGTTAAGCACTGATTATTGGTAGAATCAATCAATTTTTCATGCTTAATGCTGATCATATCACATTGACAGAAAATCCACACCTCTCACCAAGCCTGTCAGGTCACAAGCAGGACAGTTTACTTACCTCTGCCATGCTTCAGTGGAGGTCAGTGAAGGAATAAACAAATTAATATATGATGATCTTTAAATATGAAGCAAATATTCTTTATAAATCATTCATTCATTCCATACAGCCATGGTTCCTGAAAACACATAGGAATTGGGATACCCATGAATGTAGACTCAAACAGAAAATAGGTAGGTACAATTTTTATCTCTGACTTTCTTTACCATACCACAATCTGCAGTCTACCAAGCTGACTCAACAGACAATGGCATGGTACAAAAATAGACAATATTCAGTAGATCCACACAGGACTAGAAAAAAGACACTGTGAAGTGTCAGAGAACTGAATCATATAGGGACAGTATATTATGACACATTAAGCCCAAGGTATTAGTAGAGCAGATGTCACAAGAAGGTTTTCAGACCAAGGAGAGGCACTATCTATGCCTGGAGTCTGGAGATGCTTCTTTCAAACAAAACCAACCTAATCAAGCCTGACCTAACCCTACCGGTAAAAGTATACATGAAGTCCGAGTGACTGTTAAAAGATAAAGTTTTCATATTCTTACAATATTTGACATCCTGAATCCAAAAATGATGCTATATATTTCTTGGATATAAAGAAAAACATAATCAAACCTGACCTAACCTTACCTATTTACCTACAACCTACAAACCTACAACCTAAAACCTACAAACCTACCAACCTAAAACCTAAAACCTACAAACCTACAACCTAACCTAACCTAAAACCTAAATTTTTTGCTGTTACATATTTGCATCAACAGCGTCACAATTGTCTACTCGGACCTAATATATACTAGTACCACCTTACCTTCAACCTATATGCTACAACCTAAAAACTAAAAATAACACTCCCTATAAACCCAAATATAACAACCTCAGTTTTTGCCAGTCCCATAGCTCAGTTGGTAGAGCGTTGGACTCCGCGTGGTGAGAGCAAATGTTCCCGGTTATATGGTTTGAAGTGCGACGGGCGCTTGACATTTATGGGCCTCCTGACAAGTGTGGTTGTGGTTGGTGGCAGGCCGTAGCCAGGTGGTCGGTGAGGACTGAGGGGAACAGCCTAGGTGTTAGGATATCATTATACCCTAGGTAATAAGTGCAGCAGGCATTAACTGAGCATTATTAGGGCCATTTAGATGCTCGGTTTGGTAAAACAGTGCTTGATTTGCGCTTTTTGCTATTTATAACTGCGTGGGTTGTCAACCAAGACGCAGTAGTGACGTTTGCGCCACATAGTTATTATTACTTTACAGGGTATTCCCGGAATAAATCACATGCATGCTACCACAATATTCTCGAATATAATGGCAGAACGATATATACAATATAGGTATCTAAGGTCTATAAACAGGATTTCCACCGATAAATGAAGCCAATACGAACCGTCCCACACATTGGCCAAACAATTTGGCAGCTCTTAATGATGTTTCACCACAGATTTTCCTTTACACAGGCATAAAGGAAAACTTTATAAGATGAAAGTTTCTCTTCAGGTCTCTTGAGAAATGAGAGGTCAATTGTATCCGTAACTGACCCTTCATCTGAGACCATGAACTAACGGAAAAAGGTTATGCCCCGCGTTCGATGTCTCTCGGACGACGAAGATTCTACGTCGTCGGCGGCCAATCCCGTTCAAGGACGCGGGGGCTCGGCTGCGGTTATGGAACGTGATTGGCCTGACGACGTAGAATCTTTGTCGTCCGAGAGACATCGAACGCGCGATAATGTTTACACGAGGTGTTTTCATTGTTCTAGCACGTCTACCAAAAAGTTACTGTCGAAAAACTGATGACTTTAAAATTTTGTCCCCATTTCAGGCAGTTGACGATTGACTCACAGATGCAGATGGAGGGAAGGCAGGCGGCTGCCACCGGCACGATTGATGAAGTAATCATACCCCGCGTTCGATAACGAGTGATGAAGTTATCTTACCCCGGACGGCGTAGAATCCTCGTCGTCCGAGAGACATATGTCTCTCGGACGACGAGGATTCTACGCCGTCGCCCGTCCGGCCAATCACGTTCCATAACCGCAGCCAAGCCCCCGCTAACCTTGAACGGGATTGGCCGGGCGACGTAGAGACGTAGTATCTTCGTCGTCCGAGAGACATTGAACGTCCGAGAGTTAGTCGCAACTCTTGCTTATCAATTCGCTGAACCTGTATACCATGGACTAATAAAACCAGATTCTGACCGACTCCGACGTTTATTATCAAACTGAACCATGATTGGTCGGTTGAAACGAGCGGTATTGTCGAGCTTTTCATACACATGACGCGGAGACCGGTGGTGTAAAAACTCCAAAAGGACGCGCGCACGGTGGCCGGCGCGGCTTTAATGTGACAGGACCGATGTAGCGCACGACTACCAAGCGAACAGCGGGGGCAGCCCGCGCTGGCTCGGCAGAGAGGGAGCCGTGGAATGCAGATGTCGGCACTATGAGATGAAAACGAGTCTCAGGTTATGCTGATGCACACACAAAAACGTATGTTATGTATGTCCGCTTTCGAGAACAAGTCAGCAGGTGAAAGTTTAACCTTCCATACCAGCTCTGAGCTCACTTTGCAAAACCGTTCCGCCGAATGGGATCCTCCAAGCCAAAACCCCTCGAAAAGTACACTTTTCACAGTACAAGCATACCGGCGAACGGTAAACAGAGAAAAACTCAGACGCGGCGTCCACTCGCCGTTCCGAGTAGAGCTGATCGTGCTCACCACCTTCCGCACGTACACACAGAATAAACAGAAAGTGGGCGGCAGAGCGCCCGTCAGCACTCCTCGGGTTGTCCCGGGGATGGCGCGGACGGGACCGGTCCCACAGCTCTCAGTCAGCGCGCTCAGGAGACCGGCTGCGGCTGGGGCTCCTGCTGCTGCTCCTGCTGCAGCTGCTGCGGCTCCTGCACCTGCTCCGCGCTCTGTTCAGTTTCCTCCTCGACAGCCACCGGCTGGCCGCCCCCGCTCTGCTGGTTAGCGCACGTCAGCATGTGCTTGGGCCACTGCGCCTCCTGCGGGCCACAGACAGCGCCATTGGTCAGTTAAAAAACGTGATATCCCGTCCGAGAGTCAGCCCGACCCGACTGGAAGGGTCGTCATGGCGCCCTCCTGAATGAAGGAGTGCGACCAGGCTGCATGACGACTGGTACTGCATCGCTGCGCTCTGACCCGCACGCCGAGAGGAAGCGAACATGCCCCTACATATATCTTGACTGAACAGTGAACTTCCCGGCCCTGATGGGAACGCGACCCTGGCTGCAGCGAATCACATGTCCCATTCTGGAGTGAGGAGGTGCGGAATGGCAGCATTACGGATGTCCTGGAGGTCACCTACGGGAACTCCAGAGCCGAGGGGCGTTATAAGCAGATGAATCACAACATGATTGTCAATGGGCAGTACTGGGCCAGGGTCAACGATTCCGGCACCGTCTATCAGTTCACGTGGCTGATTGTGTCAAAGGACAAAATCGATCCACCCTAAAAGGACGAATTCGGTCCAAACTGACTGATGATAACCCTCATAAGGGTTTCTCCGAAACTATCAATCCATGTTTACACCATTTGACAAGCATACACCGATGCACTATTCACATAGTGATCTGGAATGGTGTCGGTGTGGAGTGGACGTTACTCCGGTCACTACACTATAGACCAAATTGGTGCAAAATATCACAGAATTCAGCACGCTCGTACCAAACTCCCTTCAGGCTGCTAACCAACACCCGCCTCCGTGGCGCAATTGGTTAGCGCGTTCGGCTGTTAACCGAAAGGTTGGTGGTTCGAGCCCACCCGGGGGCGCTCCACTTTTCTTCCCAGGACCCTAGACAAAACAATGTGCGAACGAACCCTCTTCAGATTCGCCTTTGTTGCTCTCGACTTTATGCCACTCCATTACCTGATCTACCTTATTGAATAATGAATAGCTAATAATCGATAAAAAAGCTACACAAATACCAGGATGGTTGCCGTCGGACTGTACCTGACAGGGGAAGTCGCAGTAGGAGGTGTTCCAGCAGCAGTAGAAGATGGCCTCCTTGCCGGCACGTGGCGCACCACTGCTTCTTCTTGGTCTCTGCCACCTTGAGCTCAGTGAGGCGGCTCCACTCTGCGCGCTCCGAGGCGAACGCCGTCGTCAGCTTGTTGACCGTCTTCTTCTGTTCGATCTCCATGCTGTTGCGCAGCTCGGCCAGCATCGTGTCTGACGGGGAGGGGAGGATGTGTCAGACGTGTCAGCTGTCACTGGGAGGAGAGGCGGGGTTTCAGCTGTCACTGGGACGTGTCGGATGTCACTGAGAGGCAAGGTGTCAGCTGTCACGGGGAGCTGGGGAGGTGCCAACTGTCAACTGCAGCAGCAGCGGCAGCAGCGTCCCACAGGCACTGTCAAATTCGCACAGGCAGCCCAAAGACCGTGTCAGAGATAGTATTATGTCTGGTAAGTGCCGGTAACCCACATACGAGTACAGCGGTAAGTTACTGAGTATCATGGACAAGACAGAGTTGAGGATCTGGACGTCCAGACTACCGGCCAAATGTCATAGGCATCCGTGAGTCATGTGAAGCGGTCCCAAAACATTCAGCTCCATGTTTGATAGCGGCTGCCACCGGTCTGATTGACCAGTGACCCTTGAGAGCTCCACCTGGTGTGGACTGACCAGTGACCCTTGAGAGCTCCGCCTGGTGTTGACTGACCCGTGGGCCGTGACCTTTTTCTGTTCGGAGAGCTCCATCTGGTGTTGACTGACCTGTGACCTTTTTCCGTTCGGAGAGCTCCATCTGGTGTTGGCTGACCTGTGACCTTTATCTGTTCGGAGAGCTCCATCTGACTGACCTGTGACCTTTTTCTGTTCGGAGAGCTCCATCTGGTGCCGCCACTGGAGTCGCTCCAGCTGGAGGCGCAGACTGGCCAGGGCGGCCGGCGCCGCGCCCGACTGCGCCAGGTCCGTCAGAGACTGGTCCAGGCACGAGCGGATCATCTCCGAGAGCTGTACGGCAGACAGCGGTAAAGGGCGGTCACAGTACAGAGACAGCGGTAAAGGGCGGTCACAGTACAGAGACAGCACAGTTACCCTGACGACGAGAGGCACACATCGGTCACACCCGTGATCACACTCCCTGATATCGTCCCAACATTATATTTTGGCTTGGGTTTCGGAGGGGATATTCCTCACAGCAAAGAGGGCTTCATCTTCATCTTCATCTTCGTGTTATCGGGGCAAGAGGCACGATGTCCTGTAGGGCCCGTTCTCGCCGATTTCCATAACTTCACTTAGTACTCAGTCTGTTACAGGAGTGGAGTACCAGATCGACTCCCAGTGTGCATCCAGCCTGTTCTTAAAGGGACCCTCCCACCTTCAAAAAAGTTAATGAATTGGCACGAAAGTGATGTCGCTCGGTTCAGAAAGAGCGAAAACGAATATCTACCAAATTTCATCGAAAAATATTCACCGGTTTTCAAGATATTAGAATTTTACTTTGTTTACTTTTTGGGATCTCCGCTGTTCCTAGCGACTTTATTTGAAAGTGCGGCATTTGTTGCGCGCAAAGCAGCATATACCACCGCGTGCTACCAAACGTTTAGTAAAAGATTTAAAAATCGTTAGATCTCCGCTGACGTCACAAATTCTAAGGGGGCATACGAATGCACTAGCCCCTTAGAATCCGAAAACTGCAAGTTTGAAATTCCATATCTCCGAATTAAAGCATTAGTCGATGTTGTGAGTGCCCAAACCGGTATTTGCAGGCCATGGCCACCAATTTGGCTATCTCAACTCAAAACTAATGTTAAGGTGGGAGTGTCCCTTTAAAGACGTTGACTGAGGGCGAATGTACAATTTCTGCTGGAAGCCCGTTCCAATCGTTAATACACCGCACAGAAAATGAATTCAGTCTGGCACGGCAGGTTGCACGAGGCTTCCGTAGTTTAAGTGTGTGACCCCGAGTTCGCCTTTCAGGATTCGTTGCCAGAAGCTCTGAAGGATCAGTATCAACGTGGCCGTGCAGCATCTTGTATGCGTGAATCATATCCATGCGTCTACGCCGATAGTACAGTGACGGGAGCTTCAGTCTCTTCAGCCTTTCAGGATATGGAAGGTCGGATATGGAAGGTGGCGATGCTCACCACTAACCGGGTGGCTCTTCTTTGAACCCTTTCGACTGCCTTCTGATCAGCTCTATTGAACGGACCCCAAACAAGACTGCTGAACTCCAGGTGAGGCCGCACGAGAGATTTGAACAGAAGAGAGCAGGGTAAATTCATCTAAAAAGGCGAAGGACCGGCGGATGACCGCAGGAACTTGAGACGCTTTGAAGACCGCCGTAGACGCTTGCTGTCGAAACTTCAAGATTGAGTCGACCTGCACACCCAGGTCTCTCTCGACTGACGTGTTTGTCAGTCTGTCCGACCCCATTTGAAATGAGTGGTGGTCCTTGGCTGCACCAACATGAAGCACTTTACACTTATTCTCGTTAAATGGCAGCTGCCAAGTTCTAGACCATTCCACGAGGGCGTTCAGGTCTGCCTGCAACGTCCGCACATCATGTTCAGAGAGATGCCTGAGAACAGCTTTGTGTCATCTGCGAACATTCGCACATTTGAAGTGACAGCATCTGGCAAGTCATTGACATAGAGCAAGAAGAGCAATGGGCCCAACACTGAGCCTTGGGGCACACCACTGCGCACAGGGACCAAATCTGACAGGTTTCCATATAGGGACACTTGCTGCATTCTGTCTTCCAGGAATGATTCAATCCAAGACAACACTCGGTCACCAATACCATAACAGCGCAGCTTGCCTATCAGTCTCTTGTGTGGGACGGAGTCGAACGCCTTTCGGAAGTCAAGGTAAATCACTTCGACCTCCGTCTTGCCCTCCAACAGGCGGCTCCATGAGTCTATAGAGTCAAGCAGTTGCGTATCACAAGATCGCTTCGGGCGGAAGCCATGTTGGTCCTTGGACAGCAGGTCATTTGACAGCAAATGGTCCATTAAACAATCACGAATGAGCGACTCGAGAATCTTACAGGGAACAGATGTGAGGCTGACAGGTCTATAGTTTCTTGGGTCTTCCTTTTCACCTTCTTAAAGATTGGTATGACTTTACCGTGCTTCCAGTCTGCAGGAATAGACCCAGTTTCAAGCGATTTTCGGAACAGTAAGGTCAAGGGAAGGGAGAGAGGACCACTCAATTCCCTTAAAACGCGGGGGTGAATGTCATCAGCTCCTGGGGCACTATTGGGGTTCAGTGCTTTAAGCTTTTGCCTCACTGTGAAAAGGTTGACTGGTATATCGATCAGCGGCGGCCCTGTGTAACGGTTGCTGTAGTTGTGGCACGACATCCGTTTTTTCAATAGTGAATGCGCCTGAGAAGACGTCATTCAGGAGCGAGGCCTTCTCTTTTTCCTCGCTAACAAGGCCCTGGTCGTTTCTTAGATCACCAATACTTGATTTAACTTTACGGCGGCTGTTCACATATTTCCAAAAAGCCTTCGGGTTTTCTTTCATGTTTGCTGATATCTTAGCTTCAAAATCTTTCCTTAACTGGCGAGTCAATGCCTAAGCTTATTTCTGCAAATCTTATATCTGCTATAGTCGATGGGGTCTTGCGTTCTCATGTACACTGACCACAGTACCTTCTTCTTCTTCTTGAGGTTTAGTGAACGGCTATTCATGTAAACGTTCTTTTTAGACTTGACGTTTCTTGCTTTGGGTATGCACTCACTCATCAGCGATTCAAGTTTGCTCCTAAACCACTTGTAACCCGCGTCTACACTCATGGTTGACAAACAGCTCCAGTCAACTGCATGTAGTTTTACACGCAAGGCCGTGAAGTCAGCGCGGTGAAAATTCCATTTCAAGCCGGCAGAAGAACATTTTGTTGTTGTAACAGGCAATATCGCATTTCAGTAGCACATGATCACTCCTTCCTAATCCAGGACAATATTTGATCTTTGTTATCATATTCTCATCATTTGTAAACACCAAATCCAGTATACTAGGCCTACAACCCTCTCTAAATCTGGTAGGCTTGGTGACATGCTGGAACAGGAATGCATCCTGAACGGCAGACAAAAACTTGTTGGCAAAATGTGCTTCAGATGCGCTGCAAAAGTTGTTTTCCCAGTCAATCTGAGGAATGTTAAAATCCCCAACAATGAGCAGGTGAGTGTGCTTGAGAGAAATCGCATTTTGGAGTAAGCAAGACAAATCATCAACACTTCGATGGGGGTCGCCTGAGGGGCTGCGATAAATGCATCCGGCAAGTAGCACGTCATTGTTTTCCAAGCACAATTGTACCCAAAGTTGCTCTTTAAATCTTGAATCTGGAAAATGTACGTTGGAAACTTTCAGTCGATGATGAATATAGATGCATATGCCTCGAATGCCAAGGTAATTGGTATCATCAAAGTTGGTGTGCACTTCATAACCAGGCACAGAGAACAAGACAAGGGGCACTGACGACATCCGCACCTTTGGTAGCGCTTCAGTGATGAAAATGATATCGGGATCTTCACCACAAATAGTCATGCACAAATCATCCCTCTTGTTCAACAATTGGTCCGCATTTGTGTACCAAATACGTAGGCACCGAGTGCCCTCAGAGGCATTCTTCACGGGCAGTCACGCTTGCTGAGGTTCTGGAGGACAGCCATCAGACACCGTAACATACAAAGATAACACACGGGAGGTATCGTTACGTGCTGATGCATCAGCTGGAACCAAGTCATGGGTTGCAGCCGACGACCGGACGACTGGCAAGGTAATGGATCTGGCACTGTCCCTTGCACTATCGAACCTCCGACCGGCTTGGGCATGTGAAACTGGCCTGTCATTGGAAATGATTCTCCCGTTGCGGATTACAAGGCTTTGTTCACCGGCTGCCCTGCGAGAGCGGAGCTCATCTCTCAACTTCCTAGAAGCCTCGCGCTCCACCTTAGTTTGGTCGGGGGAGAGGTATATGTTTCCCCATCGCACTGAATGGCGGAGCTGCGGGGCCATTTTCAGCAGTTCGTGCTTTATGTCCTCGTTCTCCAGCGTTACCACGAGCAGTCTGGGTTTGTCAGGGTTAGCCTTGCCGACCCGAAAGGATCTGGCCACGCTAACTCGTAGTCGAAAGGTTTCCTTGACCATCTAAAAATTGGTTGATGTCTTCCTGGGACCTCTGCTCCAAAGTTCCAGCCCTCGGCTCCGGGAGGTTGTGCAGGATGATGTTCTTTTTTCGCTTGTCTTTGTCGAAAAAATCGTCAACGACTTTGGCTATACTTGGGACGTCGTTTGGAGGTGTGGCAGAGAGTGGCAAGGCTGACAGCTTAGCGGACACTTCACTAATAACTTCGGAGCACGAACCTCTCACTATTTCGGCATAGGTACTTTCCTGTGACTTTTTCTCGCTTATGCATCCTTCAATCAGCTTCATTCGATCACCTGCGGCTTTTTCTTGTTGTTTTAGGATAGCAGTGTTTTCCAGAATAGCCTGGTGCATTTCCTTCATCTGGCTCTCTACACTCGAGAATTGCGCATCCATCTTCTTTTCAATTGACACTTTTCCCTGCACAAGATTGCGGAAATCCTGCACGTGATCTTCACATTCCTCGCACAGCCAAAGGAGACCAAATCGAGTAATCGCTTTGTACGCCTCCTCCTCCAGGCCCTGGCAAGCTGGATGGTACCAGGTCATGCATATTTGGCATCTGATTGAACCAAAAACGTCGTTCGAAACCGATTTTCCGCAAGGCTTACCCTCGGATCCATTACAAATAACATTGCCCGTGACCTTTGGCACGCTTTTACTAGAGGGCAAGGCACCGGCTTTTTTGCCCTTTCTGTTCCTCTTACGCTTGTTCGCTACAACCCACTCTTCAAAGAATGGATCAAATCCTTCAATGAGTGAGGATGTCTCAGAATCTTCGCCAACAGAGTCGTTCATAATTCAGCTAATGGTATCTTGAAAACGAACAACTACTCTATTTAGCTGCACGAGCCTTCCTACGAAAATCAAGGGCACTTTGCCCTACTTTTACTGAGTTTTTTTTTTTAAACAAAGACTAGAAAAAATCAACTTTTAGATGTAAGAATAAAGACTCATCTTATACTTATATGACACAAAAGTATGTTCCATAGCATCTACGTTAAATTAGGAACATGCTAATATATAATACATTAATGAAAACAAGCTATTATCGGCTAAAATCCAAGTTTTCTAGAGCACAGCAACAACACGTCTGCACACTTCAAGAACTCCAAGAATCAAGAAGAATCAAGGTTGTTTGGGCTCTGGAAGAAGACGTCGAGGTCTATGTTGTAGCCCATTTTTTTTGAATCACGCGTTTTTCTATATCAGTTTGATTTCTCTTCGGTCAGTCTTGTCTGTCTGCCCGATGTTTGTCGTATCTTGACTTAAATTGGTTAGATGTTTTTGCCATCTTGGTGTGAGAGCTTAAAGGAAATAGTTCACTTTCACGAAATTATTTTTTTGCAACGGATTTATGATTTTTTATGTTCAAAATAATCAGCAAAGAAAATAAAACCTTTTTATAACAAAAGATTATTTTCTATATTTTGATATAGGAAAAACTTTTCAGTTTCTGTAAGGCACACGCGATCCAGTATGAAAAGAGCATGGGTCCCGAAAATTCTTCAGAAACAGAGAAATTATCGCAGCCACCGGCATTTGGGCGATCTGCTCGATCTGATAATGTTCCCCTGAATGTCCTAATTGATCAGTACGAGAATTTCTCTAGAGTTCTCGTAGATAATTTCTCTACTTTCTGAAGAATTTTCGGGACCCATGCTCTTTTCATACTGGATGGAAATATATGCAAGGCACACATCCTCAACGCAAGACACCTTTTTCGGGACGAGAAATAGAATATCTTTGCCTAGGGTGATCGTTGGGCTGTAAAAGCTCCTGATTTATGCTCGTCTCAGCCCAAGCTACGGAACTGCTATTCCAGTTCAAAACCCATGTTAAAAAGTGAACTATTTCCTTTAACAAATTCCATTTATTTATAACTCTTTGTGAGAAAAATCTTCCTCTCTTCAACGTCCGGTGGTGGGGCTTGTACAGTTTGAGGTAATCTCGCTCTGTTCGGTTTCTAACGTTAAATAATTGGGTGAGGTCACACTCGTGGAGCTGATGGAGGATTTTGTGGGTCTCAAGTAAGTCTCCCCGTTCTCTTCTCTCTCTAGGGTGGTAAGCTTAAGCTGTCTCAGCCGCTCTGGATAATTTAACCCTTGCAGTCCCACAACTCTTCTTGTAGCTGCTCTTTGAACTGTTTCAATCTTCTTGATATTATATTTCTTATATGGAGACCACACTTGGGGACAGAATTCAATGTGAGGGCGAATGTTTTGTATGTGAGATTAAACATTGCCGGCCTCAGCTTTTCAAAGGTTCTCCTTACCATGCCCCAACTGGCATATGCTCGTTGGGTGCATTTGTTGATATTTTGTTGAACTCGAGCGAGGAGTCAACAATAACACCCAGGTCTTTGTTCGTTGGTGTTCTCCAGCTTAGTACCACCGAGCATGTAGACTGGTCTGTCGGACATCATTTGTTTGGTGCCGATTCGAAGGGTCTGGCACTTAGAAGCATTGCAGCATAGTTTCCATTGACGAGACCAGTGCTCAATCTCTTGGAGATCCCCTTGTAAGCGCTCCACATCTTCATGTGACTTGATGTGTCGGTAGATTTTACTATCATCAGCAAAAATTTGCACCTGGCTAACTATTTGATCCGGCATGTCATTAATAAACAGAAGGAACAGTGTGGGACCGATCACTGAGCCCTGTGGGACGCCACTTGCTACCTTTGCCCAGCTTGAGTGGGCTCCGTTGACTACAACTCTCGTTTCCTATCGTAGAGGAAGTCTTCAAGCCAGTTAAGCAGCTGACCGCCAATCCCTGATCGGTATAATTTATGACAAAGTCTTGCATGTGGTACGGTGTCAAAAGCTTTTGCAAAGTCTAGATAGACAATGTCTGTAGGTACCTTTTCATCAAGGCTGCGGCTGCAGTCTTCCAAAGTGGAGAGGAGGTTTGTTAAACACGACCTTCCGGAAACAAATCCGTGTTGGCGTGGGTTCAAAATGTCGTTCTGCAAAATATGACTCATTATTTGTTCATTGACGATTCTTTCCATCACTTTACTGCATATGCAGGTTAAACTAATTGGGCGGTAGTTTTGGGCTTCAGTTCTTGATCCCTTCTTATGGACTGCTGTGACGTATGCCATTTTCCATAGACGAGGGACATGTCCAGTGTCCATCGAGTTTTTGAATATGTTTCCAATAATAAGAGAGTTTCCAATTTCCAATAATAAGAGTTTCCAATAATAAGAGAGAGAAAAATTGCGAGTCAGAGAGGCACGAAAAAGAGCGGAAAACAAGAATACCTAGCCAATTTAAATGTGAATCTTCGATGATGTGGGACTGCTTTATAAAACAAGTGAAGGAAATATAGAGGTAGTTTTAACTTAAACGCTAGTTAACAAATATACACGCAGATGCTTCTCATTGGTAAAATTGAGTGTGAAAATCGCTCTGGAAAATAGGTGAGAATGGAAAATTGTTTTCATTTGGATGTCATTCCCCACCAAAACTGGCAACTTTTGGGACCCCTGACACCCAAAAACGGCTGCCTAATCTAGTATTCCTTCACCCAGCATATTTTGCCCAATTATGCCTTATGGCGTATTCACATCTATCGAAAAATAAATAAGTTACTTCTGAAATGATCATTCACTATACAATGCATATCCCCCCTCCCCCCCAATCAATAACCAATGCTGCCGTTGCCGACCGCATCCCACCAGCGCCCATCAGCAGCCCCGTGTCCAGCCCCACTCACGTCGTTAGCCTGAGTGCGCAGCTGCTCTCCGACGGCTCCCGTGTGGGTGGGCGGCGCCGGCGCCTGGGCAGCCGTGGCGCCCTCGGCCGGCCCGGCGGCCGACGGGCCGTTCGACACGGCACCGCCGCTGTTGGGCACAATCATCATCGGGCCGATGCGGGACGGCGTGTACACGATGAATCCGGCCTCCTGCGACAGGCTGGTGGCGACAGAGCGTGCCGGCGTCTGGATGGTCACCGAGCGTCCCTGCGACTGGGTCCGCCCCTGCGACTGGGAGACCGCCGAGCGGCCCTGAGGGGTGGCCGGGCTGCCGCGCTGCTGCCGCTGCTGCGGCGACTGCTGCGCCAGCTGCTGCTGTCGCACAGCCGCCGCCGGCGACATGGCCTGGCCGGACGGAGGAAAACGGTTATGACAGCGCCGGGAGCAGCCGTACAGAACACTCAATATAAGTTAAAACTGAATGTCGCATTTGATACTACGGAAGGCCTAACCGAAGCTAGGTGTGATTATGGTTATATTTGGGGCTGTAAGGACGCCCTAAATGCATCAATCATCAACGCTATCAAGTCAGCTGGATATAAAACAACGCTCTCTAGAGATGGATGCTTGCCAGGAACTGCCTCCTCCCCCACCGCCAAACCCTAGTCTCCTTATCTGCAAGTGATGAGTAAACTGAGCTTTATGGCGCTTTAGAGCTTAAAGACTTAGGCTTTAGGCAGGATTTAGGCTTTAGGATTGGATATCAGCCCGCCTATCCTCTGTATCGGTGCCGATCGGTGTTGCCCCACTCACCACGTCTACTCCGTTGGTGCGGACCGGCACCGGGCTGGCCCGGGCCCGCGACTGCGGGGCACGCAGGATGGCCGGCCGAGTCAGGCCGCCGGGCGGGGGGCCGGTCGGGTTGACCTTGACCAGCCGCTGACCAGTGCCCACCGCCGGAGACGCCACTGCCTTCACTGGAGTGGCAACGGCGGCGGCAGGGGCCGCCTTCTGAGCGGCCTTGGCGCCGGCCGCCGGCTGGGTGTCAGCCTTGGCCGCCGGCTTTGAGCCAGCCGCCGGGGTGGCCGGCGTGGCCGGCTGGGCAGCCGCCGCCTTGGCGGGCGCAGGAGCCGGACTGGCAGCCGCCTTGGCAGCCGGAGTGGCCGAGGCGGTGCCCTTGGCAGGAGCAGCCGCCTTAGCAGAGGTACCGGCGGCCGCCTTGGCAGGAGTCGCCGCGGCCGGCTTGGGGGCAGGAGAGGCAGCAGCCGCCGGGGCGGCGGCCGGTGTCTTGCCCTGCGACTTGCGGGCCGGTTTGGCGGCCTTGGGCGTGGGCGTGGGCGCGGCCTCGTCCATGGGCTCGTCCTCCTCCACCTCCTCCATCATCTCCTCCATGTTCTCCTCCATCCCCTCCTCCTCCCCCTGTTCCATCTCCTCGTCGCCCTCGGCCTGCAGCTCGGGCGGCCCGCCCGGCGCGCCCGGCCCGGCCCGGTCCCCGCCGGCCTTCCCCGCCGCAGCAGCGCCCGCCGGCGGCCCAGAGCGGCGGGCCTTCTTCTGCTGGCGCAGCTTCTCCAGCTTGTCCAGCTGCAGATCACTGCCACCCCGCTTCCGCTTCGCCACCTCTGCTGGAGGGACGGGTGGTTTGTTCGTCAGGCAGCGGCAAAAGGAAGTGGAATCAGTCCCAAGGACTAGACGTGTCACAAGGCCAGAAACGCGGACAGAACGCCTGTCGGTAATGTAAACAATTTCTGGTGACCAAAGCATTCAGACTATTTGTTTAAAGGGCAAATATTACCTAGAGTAACGTGAGGTGGGCATTTTGAATTTTATCATATGATCGTTGAGCCCTTGCCTATTATGATTTGAAAGCATGTGTCAGCTTACTCTTCAAACGACTACCGCCGTCCGAGGGGACTCGAACCAAATGGTTTGGCAGGTAGTGCCGTTTAGCCACTCCCACTCTCCGGATCAACAGACAATATGAATGACCGGCAGGCAGCTCCACCGCCCTTACCCCAACTCCACTAAGGCACTCATCCCACCTCCGCCGTTACCGGCACCACCCAGCGTGCGCCCTCACCCTGGTCGGGCCGCACGATGTTGCACTCGTAGTTGGGCAGCATCTGCTTGATGTGCTCGGTGATTTTGCGCGGGTCGTAGACGGTGCGCGGCTTGGCGTGCACGAACTTTCCGAACTTCTCCTCGAGGTTGTGGATGTGCTCCTCCAGCTCCTGCGGGCGGGGCCGACCGAGCGCCGTAATGGACGGTAGGGACGGATGGATAACCGACAGTACGACGGATAGTGAGTAATATGTGGCCAATCGACTAGTGACGGATTCCATTTTGAGCAGTATGAGGGGAGCGGTCGGAGGATCGGCAGCGGAGAATACAACGGATAAAACGGCCACGTATCACTGACCATGGACGTTTTCCACATCAAAGCAAAAATAATCGCAGTTCACACGATGTATAAATGTTGCCTACTAACGTTAAGACACCTATATCATATGTGACGTAAATTGTTTTCAGCGCATGCAGAGATGTACCAAACCTAAACCCAAGATATATTCTGCCCAAACCATAGCGATACGGAGACGAATCGACTGGCTAGTGGCTCCTCAGTTCGGCCCTGTTAGGAATCACTGACCTCGATGCAGGCGTCCAGGCTCTTGCTGCGGTTCTTGGGCGGCGACGGAGGGTCCTTGGAGAACAAGTAGCACTCCTTGATGGGAACCCAGGCCCTGCAGTGTGCAGACAGACGTCAGTCACTACACCAGGCATCAGCGACAGACCGAAACTGCTGGCATACCTACCACACGGCCTAGTTTACAAAGATACTGAGCCGTCAAATTGAGCCATCAGCTACCGTAAAGGCTGAAACAGACTCTTTCCGCGTTCAGGAAAGCGTATGCGAGAGCCTATTCAAATACATTGTAATTCTTCTCGCATCAATCGCTTGCGGGAGGTGCGTGCGATTGATGCGAGCGTGCTTCCATGTATTTGAATAGGCTCTCGCATGCGATTTCCTGACTGCGGAAAGAGTCTGTTTCAGGCTTTAGTCACATCTTGGGACACACCAATTAGGCTGAACATCGCACAACACCACGTCATTTATGTATTTCAATTTTCAGCTGAATTACACTTCTCACACATTTCACGCATTTATTTGAGCCTCCCACTAATCTTCCCAGCTGCTTCTTTCTCATGAGTCTCATGTATTATGTGGATCAATGTAGTCAGAGAGCAGGTAACAGGAGCCGACTCCCTGGCCGGCGTTCATCCCTCCTTCTCACCTATCGTGCCGGCCGAAGAAGCGGCAGTCGACGTTCCCGTCGCGCGATTTGACCGCCTTGGCCGGCCAGTAAGGGAATCCCTTCAGGCGCGCCCAGATCAGCATGTGCGGGTGGGGCTGCCAAATCGAATGGGAGAGCATGTCAACGACTCTGTCGACGAATGTTCCGACAGGAATGTTCAGATAAGCATTCCTCAGGCACAAAGTGCACATTGAATGGTCAATGGATACAATAAAGCTGCTCTATCCACCGACACATAGCTTCTCATTTTGTGTAGTAAATAGCCGTGTCAGTGGCAGGACTCCGCGAAAATAACCCGGTGAAAATTGGTGAAAGCTGACATCTAAGATGCGTTAGGCGTTAATGCCCGTTAAAGGCAGGACACAGCATGACATTATCCGACCACCGGATGGTTAATGGTCATACAGATTAAATGGTCCACACGACACTGCGCGAGCCCTCGTCATAACGGCGATCAACTCACGCAGGCGAGCGTGAACCAGTCCTCGCTGAGGTAGGCGTTGCTGTAGCAGTCGGGGCACGTCTCGATCTCCTCCATCTCCCACTTGCACATGCGCAGCAGCGACTTGGCCAGCGCCGTCAGCTTACTCGTCTCTGAAAACGGAATTAATAACGTAAACCTCGACGTAGTCTTAGGACCACGTTATTGAAAAAGTATTCAGGCTCACGGACAGGCACACCTACACCGTCTACTAGTTCGTAAGCTCACGATCAGATATATGTTTGACATGCTCGTAGTAACTACATATACGACTACCTGTTCAAAACTAAAAACTACGGGCAGTCACCCAACAACACTCAAGCATTTCCCTTGAGATACAACAGCCCCTCCCACGATACTTTCACAGACGTCTCCCCCCCTCCCCCTTCAGACCCTCCACTCTCCTCCTCCCCTCTCAAACCCAGCGTCGAGCGGTGCCTTACGTCCGTTGAAGAGGATGCAGTTGTGCAAAATCCACTTGCAGTCGGCAATGAATGCCTCGGTGGAGCCGTACTGGCCGCGCTGGATGTTCTCCTCCATCGTGTTCAGGTCCATCGGACAGGCCACGAACTCGCTGTAGTTGGGGAACTTCTCCTCGTCCACCGGGGTGATGAACGGCTCCGCCTGTGGTCGGGAGGAGACGAGGTATGTTAGGGAGGTGAGGTTATGAGCTGAAACGACTGCCACGTAGAACTCATCGAGACGTAATGGAACACTTGTCCATCCATCCAGATAAGTTACTCTGATAATGATGCGCGTCATTGCGCATAATTGCTAAATGTATGTCAATCAAATATCGACCAGTCAACCCTCAAATCATTAGGTAGGTGAAATGTCACGTGCATCACGGAATAATGTGATGAGCCTATCACCAACCACCGACCTCCTACCGCGACCTGCCCAGTAGTTCCTTCCCTCCCCGACCCGGTCACATCCCCGATCCCCGTCGTCACTAACTCACCCCAGGCAGCCCCTTGAGCCGGCCGATGGCGTGCTTCAGCAGCAGCGTGAACTGCTCGTGGGTGAGCATCTTCATGGCCGGACTGAGGTTGTCCACCGTCTCTGCCTGCACCACGCGCCGGCACTCGACGCACACCCAGTCGCCGGGCGGGTCGGCCGACAGCTGCGCGCACTTGAGGTGGAACACGCGCGGACACGTCTCGCAGCAGACCACCTTACCCTCGCGGTGGCACACCCAGCAGCAGTTGTCGTTCAGCGATGCGCCGCTCTGCCAAACCGGAGGAGCCGGGGAGTTAGCGAATGTCACATACGAGCAGCTATGAGTAGTGTGTATGAGGTCGTGCATTGCATTAGTTGCAGACAATTTAAATATCTGTGATTGACAAGCTCACGATATTCCTCCAACCAGAGTTCAATGATCTTGCCTTTCTCTACAGCTAAGAAAGAATGATAAACGGAAAATACGACTTTTTAATGAATGCAAGTATATAAGTAACAGGTGACTGGTTTACCTAAAATGATAGGGTGACGTTAATAATTCGCACTTCCTCGCCCGCCAATGGCATTCGCGAACAAAAGTACGTATCGCAAAATCACGTAGGACAAAAGTACGTGCGCAAATATTCGTAAGCTTAAAAGCGTAGGCGATAAAGTTCGCAAAAACAAAAGTATGCATCGCTAAAAACAAACTAACCTGGCCTGACCCAATCTATCCAAACCTAGCTAACATAACCAAACCCAACCCAGTCCAGCCTAGCTCAGCCTTACCACTAATTTAACCCATCCTTTTGTTCCAGCATACTTTGTCTTTGTAACTAACCCACATGATCAATACCCACTTTTGTCCAACGTACTCTTTGCTGACGTAAATTTTCCATTCGTACTTTTGCCATGCGTACTTTTGTCCGCAACCCTAACAGCCGTGTGTAAGCAGTCAGCGCCCTCTTTTCCAGCCCTTCTCCCCCCCCCCCCGACTAGCCACTGACCGCCAGCGGGCCGGACGCCTCCTCCTCCGACTTGCGTCTTTTCTTGGCTTCGTCGCCGCTGCCGCCACTTCCTCGCTTCTCGCCGGCGGCCGGCGCGCCGCCCACGCTGCGCTTGTAATCCTTGATGAAGTTCTTCTGCTTGGCGGCAAAGGCCGGGTTCCGGGAGCGGGTGGCGCGCGGCTTCTCGCCCCCAGCGCCAGAGGCGGCGGCATCAGTCATGGCGGCTGCCTCTGCCGGTGTGTCCTCTGCCGTCGTTTCCCCGGTCAGAGTGGCGGTGGCCGGCTCCGCCTCTGCTTCCACCTCATGTGTGGCTTCTTGTTCAGCAGCTGCTGCGGCAGGTACGGGTACCTCCTCAGCAGGAGCCTTCTTGCTGTTGGCCGCCTCAGTCTCTGCTGGCGGTTCAGGTGGAGGAGCAGCCTGCTCAGGTGCAGGCTCGCTGGCAGGCTCAGCAGCTGGCTCAGCAGCTGGCTCATCTACAGCAGGAGCAGAGGCATCTGCGGCAAGGGCAGCCTCCTCGGCAGTGGTGGTAGCAGCAGCGTCTGGTGCAGCTTCAGCATCCTTAGCTTGAATCACATTGCTGGCCTCAGATTCTGAAGTTTCTGTTGAGCCCTTTGCAGCATCACTCTGGTCTTTTTCTGGGTTTGCTGACATCTTGGCAGGTCACCAAATGCTGAAAATAAAAACTAAGTTAAATGTCTTCAAAACAATTATACCTGCCTGGAGAGTCTTGAACATGATAACAGGCGGACCGAGGAAAAGGCTGTTACGGTTAGGCGTCCCGGCCTCAACTGTGTCTTAAGTTGACTAAGTCACCAAATGTATACAATAATGATCAGATCAATGCCTATTGCCTAGCCTATCACTATTTATGACAGTTAATTATCTATTCAAATAGGTTCCGACGGGCAACACCGAAAAATGACATGTTTACCAAGAAACGTTCTACAACGAATCTTAAAACGAAATTCGGTTACTAACCATACAATGCGATTCGCAATTTATCCAGCAAGTAAAACAATCATTTTCGAACGTTTTTAACTCACCGTGAGGGCACAACAACAAACTCAACTTGGTAAACAAACACACGACGCCGGTGTTATCACCGAATCTGACGCAGTCGCAACCGAATAGACGTAACTGGCGCAGAGAACACTAGCGACAAATCGTACTAAAGCTTCACAAACTAGCTCACCAGATGTCTCTGTATATCAGAATCGGCGATTTCGCGCTGTGGTTGCGCTGTGGTGAAAGATTGGTAATTGGTGAAAGATTGGTGAATGGTGAACGCCTTGGGCAAGGCATTGGGGGTGATCGTGATCTATATACTCTGGCCTTGGGTCCCTTGGGTGACCGTGAAAATTTCCAACCGGGGTGTGTAAAAGGTGTACGGGAAGTGGCGTCCATTGCTTATGCTGCCAAGATATTTTGATTTGTATCAGTATCGTGTGTAAAACTGGGAGGTGAATGGATTGCGATAAGGTCTGTTTGGACAGTTTGACTCAAGTTTGACTCAGAATTTGCTCCGAATCTCATAATTTCAGACCATTATTGAGTTCAGTGTCTCAGGCTCAGCATCCGCCCATTGAAGATCTTCAAAACATACCTACTGCCTTGCTATAAAACGGACAAAATATCAATATCAAAGGTCGGGTATTTCTTGACTCGTCTCGTTCGGTGCTTAGTTTTTCAATTTGCCTCTTAGGCGTTCATAAAACTAGATGAAAAAAGTAAAGTTAACTGCCGTACTTCCGCGCGATTAAATGCTGGTAGGTACCTTATTTGAATTTTGGCAAAACCAAGGCTATATAAACCGGCAAAACGGCCGTGATGAAATACATTTATGATTTATTACCCTTCTTTGGGCGAAGACTAAGAGCCTTGCAATAACATTGGTAACTGATATAACTCGAAACCAATCCACCTTTTTTCGGGACTCGAAAACACCGTCAAAACTGTGGTCAAAACTGTCGAGATTTGTCTGCAGCACGTTGTCACTCGCATTATTGCATTTCACAGGCCAACTTGCGATAGTCAAAGCGACCTTTGGGCAAAATCCAGCGCGAGGATTTTTTCTCAATAGGATTTTTTTAGGTGAATAATTGAAAGTGCTCAGGTAAGAAATACCTACTAACTAATCATCAATCTTGCCCTGTCTCATTTCAGAGCTGGCACGCTGGTGTTGCGCTGGGGCCAGAGCCGTGAATCATGAATGCGCCGATGCAACTCATAATGGCAATTGAAATTGCATGGACAATTGTATCGCCGAACGGATCATCCTGCCAAATTAGGTACGTTCTCTGATCGCGGACCGTACCTCACCCGCGTTTGGCGTAGCTAGGGAACACCCTGGACTTCACGGCTATCCAACTATACAGGGTCCGGCAAAAGTCTTGTCGTATGTGGTATTCTAGTTTCTGTGTCTTCTCAGGCGCGTTTTACCCCACCCCGCGTTTTGCTTTGAACGCCATTGGGTCCGCGCATCTATTGTACCCCGGGGTATGAGACCACGGATAACATTCTGGTCAACGGCTGATTGTGCGAGGTCATTTGAGTAGCGAGCGTGCAGTTAAAATGAAGGCTGAAAATACCATGGTCAAATATTACGATGTCAGCCTCAGGAATCGAGCCATCGGCATGATTCAAGCGGGAATGTCGCAAGGTCTGGTCGCGAATAATGTCGGCGCCCCTCTCCGACCAGTGCACCCACCAAATCGCCAGAATGGCCGCATTTGGGCGCCCGACGCAGCCAGTGTGCCCACAGCTCCAGTCAAATTCCCAGCAAAGTTGATGGTGTGGGTGATGATGTCACATCAAGTTCTCAGTGAGCTGCTCCACGTCATCCCCCCCAAGACGAAGGTGGACATCAAGTATTATGTGGAGACCATCTCGGAGGAATCCTGCCTGTCTGCCATCAAATGGCCCAGAAACGGCTCTGTTCTGAAGCGACGGATGGTGGCTCAGAGGTCGAAAGCCATCTTCATGCAGGAAGGGGCTCCGGCGCATCGCTCTGCCACAGCCCAGCAGAGGTGCTGAGACAACCTGCCGCACTTCTGGGCGAAGGAGGAGTGGCCGGGGAACAGTTCAGACCTAAATCCAATTGAAGAGCTGTGGGCGATCGTCCAGCAAGACCTCGACAAACAGACGCCAGCAACCAACCTCGCGCAGCTGGAGACGCAGCTCAAGTCTGCGTGGTCACGAATCCAGCCGTCTGTGCTCTCAACTCTCGTGGCCAGTATGCCGAACCGTGTTCGCAAATGTTTGCTTGTCCGTGGACAATACATTGAGCGCTGAACAACTTTTTTATTTACAATGGCTTGAAGGATGGAACGATTTTAAAACTACGTCAAGACTTTTGCCGGACCCTGTATGGGCCATGAGGAGACTTGGATTTGGACACTCAAGATCGGACATTCAACAGCAGACTGGATCTGACGCGAGTCGCGATGTCGGCTGAGTCATGGGTGCCATGGAGGTAAGAAGCTGAAAGCTCTGGTAAGAAGGGTCTCGATCATCGGTGTGTTCAGGTCAAGAAACGCTAGGGGCTGGCAGTCTTTGTGATAAACGTCTTTTTGAAACGTTTATCGCCCCCAAAGTCAGGCATCTAATGTGATTCAGGTTAGCTACACCTAAGACTAAGAGCACCATAGGCTGTTGACCTCACTTTATTCTGTAGCAAATATTCCTTTCTGCATTCCCGACTAATCTCTCGCGGCTCTGCCATGTGTGAGGCGCAAAAATGCTTATGACCAACTGGCGCTTGTCCGCTAAGCGACTTGACAGTAGAAATGTGAGTCGAAAAAAAAACAATAACGTAGGTGCGCCTTTAAAAATATTGGTGCAACTTCGGTTCTTATAGATATGCGCCCAAGTTTATTGTTTACGCGCGAATGAATGACACGTTAGGTAAAGCACATCGTGCTGTCCTGTACGCTGATTACTTTTCTGTGGGTCGTTTAACCATGCTTTCGAAAGTGAACTTCTGGGGTTGCCGAGCCGCTGCTGCTTCCCGCGCCATGTCGTGCCCTGCCCTGGCGTGTTTTTCTCGCGCCTCCGCCCTCTCCCCGTCCTCACCTCTCTCCGGGCGAGAGGTGCGGCGTTTTTGCACCGCCTCTGCCTCCGCCGCCGGCGCCGGCCGTACGATTAGGATCGTTATCACCTGAGAAGAATGCGCCCTCTCTGGGCCGTCGCGGCGCGGCACTCGAACGCTGCAACACCGACCGGAGGGGCAATTAGCTCCGCCGTCCGTACAGCGCCCCGGGGCGCCGCTAGATGGCAGCACGCGATAGCCGACCGGAGAGGCTCGCTCGGCCCGGCCCGGTCCGGCGCGGTGCGTTCCGGCGCCTCTTGATGGCCGTTAGCGCCGGTATTGGAGAGCGGCGATCGGAGAGGCGCGGAGCGGCGGACTGTTGGCGCCGCGTCCGGCCGCAGGGATCAAAGGCACGTCCCAGGGTACCTCATACTCGTCCCGAGTGATGACCCCACAGGTGTGACCAAGGAGTTGGCGGCTGTGTCTGCCTCCCTTCGAGCTGGGGCTGGGCGGTGACCGCTGCATACGGCCAGCTCGAGTGACGGGCGAGATGTCCCCGCCATCAGACTGCATGATTCGGTGGTTTGCGATCACGAGTTTGGCACTCTCCAAATCGTTTCCCTGGGAGGGCTCGGCTGTAATACAGGTGCAGCTTGGTGGCAATAATCTCTCCCGAGGCTCAGTGCTGTCCAATGTCCATTACTCAAAAGTTGAAATTATTGTTGCTCGCACCAGCACGCTGAGACCTTGCGAGGTCGCGTTACTTGTGACCATGCCTCTTAGCATTGTTACCCGATACCCATAACCCATTTCAGCGATTCTCCGAAACGCCATTCTCCCGCTAGATATTGTCCGAAGAATTTGATGCCCTTCTCGGCTGATCGCCACCACATGTTATCGTCAATATGAAATCCACTTAGTGATGTGGCTCGACAGTAGATAACGCCTGGGCTGGGCTGGGTATCTCGTCGATTTGCTTTTGTTGACCGTTGCTGCCAGAGGCCCCAGCCGGTAATGAATTGAGGACCTGTTTGTGACTGGGTTATTGCTGACGATCAATCAGCTCAGCAACGGGCGGGTAAAATGAACCCGAGAGACGAATGCATGCCGCCGGACTGTTAATGAGCTGAGGGCTAATACACAGTGCGCTCAGCCCCGGGCGCGCTCTGCTGTTGCATGTCCGATTTGCATCGTTCGGTATGAAATACGGCGGCGGCATGGTATCATAAACAAAGAATGCCCACTCCAATAATACTGCACTAAAGTCATGACAGATGCACGCCTTGTTGGTGAAAAGGAACGGCTGGTAATTGCATTGTCGAAATTAATGGTAATTTGGTTAGTAACTTGCAAGTCAGTCGCGTTTCCAGGACCGTTTGCTTCAGTCGCTGTGCCGTCAGCCTGTGAACGAGGTATGAATGATTATCTCGGAATTAATTATACACCGTCTGGTAAAAACATTCATTACATTAATGCATGTCGTGCTGGTGCCCGCGCCGTATTCTGCGCCTTGGCCGGCTAACCAGCGGTCAGTAGACTGTGGTAGGGGCCGGGCGTGGGAGCCTGTGCTGCAGATATGCTCGAGTAGGTTCCCGGACGGCAGTCCAGGGCTCCACCAGTGTCCGATCTGGGCCGGGCGCGCGGCGCCCCCGAGCGTCACACGCTCAGCATTGAATCTGGATTAACCCTCGCCGGCCGAGGGGGGGGCGGGTGCCGCCCCCCCCCCCCATAGGGTTTTTTCGCGATAGCTCCGAACACGCTGGCGATAGAGAGCTGAAACTTGGCATACCTGACCTTTGATCCAAGCCGGATCTTTTGACACCAACCGCATTTTTGGGTCAGGTCAGGTCACTGACCTATGACGTCATAAGTGAACCTCTGCACGGTCTTCAGATGTCGCAACTTCACAACGCCCTCACTGCCAGAGGAGATGTCACAGGGAAATGAAACTTGCAGGATCTAGTATCCATTATGAGTCCCACAACTTGTATATCTCGGATTTTTCCTAAAGGTCATATGAGGTCAGGTCATTTTCGTGACCTCACCATTATAAGTCAATGGGGAAAAATTCAAACTGCTATTCTGGCGCCG